ATCCCAGCAGAGTGAAGTAGAATAGAAGAACAATCCTCTGACTTTACACTGTCTGTATCTTCTGCTACCACTCTGAGTGACAGCAGGGCCTTCATAGTGCTTTCATATTGCATATTAATGTTGAGAGATGCTCTGTGTGTGCATCATTGGGTGCATTTACAAGTCTATTTTTCTCTGTGTCATCGCTCTTTATCTGCCTTTAATCAGAAGAAAAAATGTGTCAAAAGCATCGAGCTCTGTGTGACCAGCTGTAATGCTAAGCCATCCATTCTGGAATATAGACCTGATCTGTCATCATCCTTCCTCCATAGATTAGCGTTTAACAGCAGGAACAGCTTTCCATCCAGCTCAGAGGGATCAATACATCGGTTTCCCTTCTATAAAATCTGATTCTGCCTCTGCCAAGTGTGGGTTATGTAGAGGGTCGGAATACACAGCAGTTGATGTTGGCTTCTGCTGGGAGCATACGATTAGAGATGCTCTACAGGCTCGCACTGAGCGTAGTGTTGCTGCTGTTGTCGCCTAGCCTTCCATGCCTTCCCTGCGTCCTGTCACTGATCATTACAGCGTCCCCTGACAGAGTGTGCTGGTGCACTGCTTCTTCATGCATAGCCTTCTATTCACTCTGTCTGCTGGTTTCATAGCTTTAGCATAGGTCAGCTCAAGTTCAGCCAGAGGATGAAAAGGGTATTGTCCACTCCTGATTTTCATCCTTACATAACAAAGATGTCCACACTTCGTGTTTTGTATAATATCTGGCATTATACAGCATAAAATTTCCTTTGGAATTAATAATGTATTTCTGATTCTGATTAATATGAATAATACACAATACAATACAATACAATACAGAAAGAACAAAGAGTAAAACAGAACACTTTGTTTGAAAGGCATATCTTTGCCGAAGATGTTAAACGCAAACCAATATTACAGTAAGACTGGTCTCTGTTCTACACCTCCACTTGCTGTGACAACCTCTGATTGTCTTGACAGGCATTTCGGCCTCTGTCTGCACTTTGGTGCCATCTGAGGGACTGGTCTATAATTATGTTGAAAGAGAATAGTCACAGTGTGTCAGTCAGCATGAGGCACCTGTTCTAAATGGTTAGTCACTGTTCTGGCATCAACAAAGAGTCAAGCCCAGGAGAGGGTAGCACTTGGAAGCTCTCTCCTTATAACGGTGGACCGATGTAGCATCCACATGATTGCGAAAGCATAGATTGAATATTCCATTTTATTTATAAAACAACTGTTTACAACAGTCTTCTTAAGGCACTTTCTATTGTAAGGTAAAGGCCCAGCAATATTAGGGTGAAATTAATGATATGATCCTCTGTGAGGAAGCCCGTGTGACAGTAGAGAGGAAGAAATCCCCTTTAACAGTAAAAAAAAAAAAGCTTAGGAAGGTGCAACTATCTTTATCACAGGAATTTCTTCCCAAATTGATTTGATGTCATTAGCGAGGTACAGTTTTTGGATTTTAAAACAGTCAAGACTTAATTTAGATGCAGACTTGCAGCCGTAGTTAAAAAGATATAATAAAAGTATTTAACTGTTTGGGGGATTACAGGTATTTTATACATAAGGTCTAAAGAGATGTTGATGCAAATGAAGGAGGTCATACTCTGAAAAACCAACATCAACCCACATAGCAAAATTGGTATGGCCCGGATCTGGCCCACACAATGTGCTTACACATGGCACACATACCACAAAGAATGACGGCCCTGTGCTGGCGCAGAACAGTTTCAGCTCTGGCCCCAGATGTCAGCCTAATGTGTGTCAAGCAATGTAATAACAACATGTGCCGGAACATAATAGTACAAAAGTAACATGACAAAACTCTGTTTAGACACTGAATTAACTGATTCTTAGATAGGTCTTTCCTACTCTCCCGGATTACTCAAAGTGCTCTATACAACATGCCAAATTCACACACTTTCTCTAAACTGGGCGCTTCCTAACTACATTCATACTCTTGACATGCAGACTGGAGGTGCCAGGAATCGAACCACTAACCTTCCAATCAGTAGATGACCTGCTCTACCTCCTGAGTTACAGCCACCCGGTGGTACACATGAGTAAACCCTCACTACGTTTTGGAAAAAGTGTACACTCACAAACCTGTCAAACCTGCGTTTGAAATGTTGGCCCATAGCAGTATAGTATTGCAACGTGGTATTTGGGTCTTTTAACTGAAATAGGAAAATCGGAACATAAACAGTGTCATCATTGCCAGACCTGGCCCACATCTGGTTGACATACACCCTGCCATGACACCAGTCAGTCAGAAGGCTTAATGCCGGATCTGGGCCAGACCTGTTTTCTATGAGCCTGGGCCACATAAACCAAACTACAATCGGGCCAGCTGTGGCATGCCATCACATAAACAGTGCCATCTATGCCAGGCCTGGCCCCTATTTGGATGACATAACACACGTACCATGCCAGAAGTCAACCAGCAGTGCTGGCTTGACACCACATCCGGGCCAGACCTGTCTGATATGTGGGAACGCAACACCAACAACAACCGTCAGACCAATAGTAGAAATTTTTGACTGGGAATATCAACCATCTAATACATTCTCAAAAGTACTGGCAAGAGCGCCAAAAGGCCTGAAAGACCACAATAGACAGTTTTCTTCTTTGGTTTTGAAGGAGAAGTTAAGGAGATGTTAAAGGAGGTGTGTCATTGTTAAGGGCTACTGACAAAGAAATGGGATATACTTCAATGACCAACTCATTGACCTGATCTCATCCCAAAAGAGCATGATTTTTGCTTACTGAAGGCAGAACTGAAGGAAGAGAGACCAGCAAACAAGCTGCAACTGAACACGGACACAGTACGTGCCTGGTAGAGCATCTTAAGCAGAGGTTGTCCAACTGCAGGCTTCAAGGGCCCGTCTCCTGCAAGTTTTAGATGTGTTCTTGATCCAACACAGCTGATTTAAATAGCTAAATTACCTCCTTAACATGTCTTGAAGTTTTCTAGAGGCCTGGTAATGAACTAATCATTTGATTCAGGTGTGTTGACCCAGGGTGGTATCTAAAACCTGCAGGACACCAGTCCTTAAGGCCTCGAGTTGGGCATCCCTGATCTTAAGGAAAGAAAGTGAATTTTGTAATGTCCATTGTTCTAGAGCTCAGACAGTCACTTCACTGTCACTTTCAAGTCTCACGGATCAGTTTGGTCAGTTTTAACTTTTCATATCCATGAACAGTGATAGGTATAAACCTAACAGTAATCTGTCAGAATCCAACCCTCAGTGAGATACAAGACAGGCAGTATCAAAGCACCCTGGTATCTGAACAGCAGAAACAACAAAAGCATGAAAATAAGACTGACAGTGTAAACTTGTCCTGGGGTAGAATACCAGTGGAAAGGTCATTATCAGTTCAAAGTGAAAATGGTTCTTCCCCTAGGCAACATGAATGTGCTCAACAAGTTTTTTGACACTCTGTCTAAGCAGATGAGGAAAATTCACATCAAATCGGGTGTGAAGGTGATGCTGGGAGACACGTTGAAACTGCAAGAGATTATTCTCCTAGAAAAGTTAAATATCCTCAGCAGTTTTTCTTAGTCGTTGGCTATAATGGTTCATGATGTGGTTCTGTCTATCTGTGTCACAGTATCCTGTTTATCAGGGACATTATCGATTGATAGAAGACTCATATTCCTTCCTATGATCTGTGATCCACTTGCTGCTGTAGATCAGGGGTGGGGAACTCTAGAGCTCAAGGGCCCGGTGTCCTGCAGGTTTTAGATATCACCCTGGGTCAAATGATTAGTTCATTACCAGGCCTCTGGAGAACTTCAAGCCATGTTGAGGAGGCAATTTAGTCATTTGAATCAGCTGTGTTGGATCAAGGACACATCGAAAACCTGCAGGACACCGGCTCTCGAGGCCTGGAGTTCCCCACCCCTGCTGTAGATCATGGATCATGGGAAGAAGGAGGGGAATCCTACACTCCTTATTTAATATTCTCTTTTCACAAGTGAATAAATTAAATTCTTTTCTGCAGTCACTGGAGGCAAAAGACAGAAGGAAACTAGGGTTTAAAAAGAAACAGGAAGTGAATATATATTTTCATGTAACAGGCCAGAGCTTAAGGCCTGATCAGGATTTTGTTTTCCAAGGAGAGACAAGATTTATTGCTCATTCTTTCTTATGTTCCATTCCAATAGTCTTATATTTATAGATTTTTTCCTTTAAGGAAACAATTAGATGTTTTTTATTTATTTATTTAGGAATATACTAAATTGGGTAAGAAGAGTGAGCTGCTTTCAATACTGACCAATCTTACTTGTAAGCTAGAGGCAGGGATGCATGAACTGAGATTTATAGGTACAGAAATCTTCGAGCACATGAAAGACAGGTGAAGATTGTTACTGACTTTGATTAGGAGGCTCTGTGATAAAACTAGCGTCCAATCGCCGACTCTCCATCCTCCTACAGCTATCCATTAAGATTGACGAGGTGACATTGACAGCATGGCTCTGTGCCTCCGCACCGTCAATGTGATAGGAGCTGTTTTTCTTCCTGGCCATAAAAGAGAAACACTGTTTGTGTGACTCATCCAGAGACCAAGCTGTATGTCAGGCTATGTAAAAAAAGGTCCCCGTGTCTCAGACCAGAGTGCTAATCAGTGGAAGGATCTCAGCTGTAGAGAAAATGGTGTGAACTAAAACCTTTTAACAGAGCGATGGCTTCAGTTCTGTTTGTTGTGGAGTGTGGCTAAGCTCTGTTCTCCAGCTCATCCTATCGATCCACCCATCAGGTTGAAAGTATATAATTTTTATTTATTGCCTGAATTAAGGCTCTTGTAGCGTGTTTATTTCCCTTGCTCATTATTACATTTCATTCCTTATTACTTATATAATCAGTTGGATGGGTTTCTTTTGGTTAGCTGCAGTCATTTTGTTTTTAATGACCTGTCACTCCAGTCAACAGTTATTATCCAAACTCAAAAAATGCCTCTTGTTTCTGTGTCGTGAACAGATTATAGATAATGGGCTGTGTGCAATGCAAGGATAAGGAGGCAACCAAACTCACAGATGACCGAGACAACAGCATCTCCCAGGGAGCGGGCTACCGCTATGGGGCCGACCCCACGCCACAGCACTACCCCAACTTCGGGGTCACCGCCATCCCCAACTACAACAACTTCCATGCTCCTGTAGGACAGGGGATGACCGTCTTCGGGGGAGTCAGCACTTCCTCACACACAGGAACGCTGAGGACCCGGGGTGGAACAGGTAAAGGAATCACAATTTTTATTTCTGAATGTGAAAGTAATGAAAAGCGATTCAATATATATATATTAATTGCACAGTAATATACAGTATGCTTAGCATTTGCTGTAAGACCTGTCCTGATTAGGGTTTTTTTCCCTGAGCTATAAACCCTGAGCACGTGCATGTTAGCTTCAGAAACGTAGATCCATTTGTTGAAGATCCCAGTGTAGGGAGACTAAGCAGTGCTGTCAAAATTCCCTTCTTTATACCTAATTTATATTGCCATCCTCATCTTGATGGGTTTTCCACTTTGTCACAGTACTAATGAATGTACCTGCACAGGCAGGCCAGCAGGGTACCTCGCATGTCTAAACAACTTTGACATGAAAGAGCGTTGGTACTTAAGGTTGATTTATCAATATCCAGAGCTTTACCAATTCAATTTAGTTCAATTCAATGTGATTATATTTACAAAGGGCTAAATCATAGCAACAGTCATTTCAAGGAGCTTTATATTGTAAGGTAAAGACTTTACAGTAATACAGAGAAAATTAGACGGCCCTCTTTGTCCAAGCACTGGCAACAGTGGGAAGGAAAAACTCCTTTTTAACAGGAAGAAACCTCCTGTAGAACCAGGCTCAGGAAGGGACATCAATCAGCCGTAACCTGCTGGTGGTTGGGGTCGGGAGGCTGGGAAAAAAATAACAATAAGTGATGATTAAATGCAAGTGGTGTACAAGTGAGTGGCAAGTGCTGTGGCAAGTACACAGATGTATACATCTCCTGTTGCGCCTTGACTGTTTTTATCTGTGCTGTACCTACACCTTACCTTACCTACATTGTACCAGTGCCGTCCTTACACTACACCTGTGCTTTACCTATGCACAAAAGGTTTAGGTTCAGTTTTAAATTATAAATGAAGCCTTAGTTATTTCCTTTCATCTCCGTACAGTCATAAACCCTCCATTAATTACCAAATCTTTTATTAAAACATTTTTTCATGTGCTCTAAAACTTTGCCCTAAATTTGTGATTAAACACAGTGCTGGTATGCCAATTTACCCTGCAAAGGAAACTGACTGAAGTTTCTAGTATGTCTGTCGACAGGTATTAGTGTTGTTGTTGGATGCTGTAGTGTTCCAGCTAAGATCGTGGCAGAACATGACGGTGTTGTCGTAGGCTTCTGAGGACTCAAACACAGAGACAATAACCTTTTCATCTATCACAAGTTTATCACGGGTTACATCGTGGACAGCTGTGATCTTATTAGTTGCAAATTGGAAGGTCAACGCCAAACAAAGTCAGAGTTGAAGCTAATTGAACTTTTACAACAGTGAAGTATAAAATCCAACGGTGCTTCAGACTTTAGGATCCCAACAAATATGACTGCAATGTCTCTCTTCAGTTTTAAAAAGCATTTAGTTATATTTTATAAGTTATATTTTCTAAATTCTAAAAGCACATTAACAGGGAAGACAAAAAGTTGTCCCTTTCACTGTGGGTTGAAAACGCCTCCCTTGGCCACCATTATCTCCATGAATTGTGTCTTTTGAACTTCTTTGTATCATTAACATTAACAAGTGGGACAAAGAATACCACTTTCCCACTGCAATTCTGCCATGAGGATGCCAGACAATTCAAGTTCATTTGAAGCGTATCAAGACTTTGATGACTCTGCTCACAACAGCCAGTTTTGATCCCTGGACTTGGATGATAACAGAATGGGAAAACAAAGAGCAGAGCTTGCCTGTCACCACTGCTGTGATATAGGGCAAAAAAACCTTTATATTCAGCTTCTTTTGCAGATCTGCTCAGTGGCAAACAGATTAGACTGTGTTTGTAGTTGTTAGTTACCATTTGGGAATAGTGTGACATATAAAAAGAGCAACTCTCCCTTAGAAAATCACTGCAGAAGAGAAGCAGAAAACTGATCATATCCTTGTTCCATCTTTGCTTTCGCATCTGAGCAGTCCTGTCATGTGAAGTGTGAGGACAATGCTGCTGAGAGACAAATGGTATTTTGCAAACAAGCAACATAGAGGGAGTAAATAACAAATTTCTTGGAGAAAATACTCTTTATTGCTTGACAGAAGACGGGAAGGATTTCCATCACAGCCTGAAGTGTGAGTGTTAGTTCTTTTTGTTTCAGTCCCACACAATTAAGGTGCTGACTGGGCCTAGTAATAGTGTTGTGCTCACAGCCACCCACAGGCATACGCCTCCATATGCAAAAGCAAACTAAGAGGGGTTTCTCTTGCTGTTAAAGACTTCCCATAACATCCCAAAAACCTCGACAGTCCGACCCCAGCCCGGCCATGTCAGGAATGTCCGACTGGCATTAGCACCGGCCTTTGTGTGCCGGTTTCATTGTTTAGGTAGGGAATATTCCTACTCAGGATATCCTTTGTGTTTGATTGAGTCCAGGCTGCTATGCAGAGGAACTCTGCATTTCCACTCAACTTAGCAGAACACTCCCTGAAAGTGTGGATTATTTTTCTGCTCTGTATAATCCAAATCCACACGGTGGTAGAGAAGCAGAGAGGGGTTTAGCTCTTTAATTTTCTCCTGGTGGGAGAAATTTGGATGTAAGCCGGCCTTCCCTTTAAAGCCTTGTTATAACGCAGCTGCCTAGCTCATTCTCCTCAGCCCCAGTCAGCCCCTTCAGTGGAGCTGGTATCTGAAATCTTATTGATCAGTTGATCTTTTGCTGATGTCATTCTCCCCAAATGGAAACTTTCGGCTAGTACCATGGTCTTATGTAACTAATTGAGTGGCATCGCAACAGACAACTCTGATCGATAAACTAGTTTATAGTTGGCGCTCACCTCTGCTGACCTAATCGAACATTCAAACACCACAAACAGCTGTTCTGGCTTGAAGGTTTTGTTGATGTTGTTCGGTTGGAGAACTCGAGTGTTTCAATCAAACACTCTTTTTAAAGGTCTCCTCTCACATCTGTGTTGGTTTTTCACATAAGTAACAGCAGGTCCTCTTTATCTGCAGTTCCATCACCCAGAGCGCCACAACAAGCCTCTTCATATCACTGCTGCCTCCTGACAAAGAATCCGTTTGATGAGACTCTGATGAGAAATTACTTGAATTATCAAGCCGGTGTAAGTGGACTCTAAAGAATTGCCTGTTCAGCTTTCATATGTCAAACACTCCACAGCATCAAACAGCTGCTGTCGTCTCAGACCTGAGACCTGTTACGAGGCGAGACAAATGGAGCGAAACTAAAATTGGATTTCCGAGCTGTTAAAAGATAATATTTGATTTGGGGTCTTATTTTCATAACTGGAGCCATCATTTGTTATTGATAATATCATTACAGTTACAGTTGATGAAATGGTGGAAGAAAGATGAGCATCCAGATAATCAGAGAAGTTTTTGTCTGTCGTTAAGATAAATTCCAGTTCAAAGACCAACTTTCTTGTTCAACTTTCAGGAGCTTTGCGTGCATGCGTATGGTAACGTATGGCTGTTTACATGTTCTTGTCTGTACTTTAACCTCCCATAAGAGGTATCTCCGTCATCGCAGTAGTTTTTTAATTGGCGAAAGACAATCATTCAAATAGCATTGAAAAATGGTCTGTTTGATATTATCTGTTTGTCAGTCTATCAGTATCAGTAATAGCCATTAAATTAAAAAAAAGAAGAAATAAGAAACACCCTTCAACTATGTTATGTGTGTTGACGTTGTATAGCTTGTCCACCAGAGGGCTTCCTTGTTGGTGGCATATGTGTTTGGAACAATAAAGAACTACACTTACCTTTATGTTTTATGTGTTTCAAGAAAAAAGAACATCCGCCAATATGTTGAAATTAATAAAATATCACGCTCTGTAAGTGACATTATATATATCCACTAAAAGGTCAGCAGAAAACAATTTTCTTTCTATAACTTACCAGAACTAGATTTTTGCTTTTTCTCTGCATATCTACGTGAAGTATGTTCACCTAATATTGAAAGAGGAAAACTTTCCATCAATGTATTTCACAAAGTAGTTACCAACTTGCCATATTATGCCACTCGCATGTGTGTTCAACTGTGCTCCAGATGGTGCAATCGAGCTACAGCTACTTTTCTGTACAAATTATGGGGTTGTTTGTAAATTACCTCAAGTATCATTTTCTGCTTTATGTAATGTTAACCAAAAAATGGGTAAACTCAGCAAATATCAAAGCATTATATACCCACATTAATAGATGCAGAATGGGCTAATAGCAGCTAATGATATCAGCAGGTTAGGAGGAGGTAACTGTTTAATCTGTTTTATTTGTGGTAAAATGTTATAGAAAATACAAACACAGCTAGATTACAGATTCTGCCATGTAAAAAATGATGTTTCAACCTTTCAGATGTTACTGTTAACAACTTTAGATTTCGAAGTTGTATCTGTTATAAGTAACATTACAAATACAGTGTAAAGACAGAGTAAGGGTTTCACACTGTATTAATAAGTACTCATATTGTATAAGCAGGTTGTTTTGCTCTCACTTATCCAAGTCGTTGCATTCATTTGACTCAGTCCCAGTCAGTAGAATCGTTATTTGGACATTGAAAGCATTACATAACTGCTTTCGTTTCACACATTGCGAGGTTTTCCAGTTGAACTTTCCACAACACCTGCCTTGTTGTCAGGATTATTGCAGTTTGGTGTGACAAACAGAGAAGCAGAAAGGCATTCGAGATTTGTTCATAAAAGTCACTTTGTAATGGCTTTTGAAAGGGAAAACAACAACTTCTGCTCTATTTCAGCCAGCTTGATGTTTTCAGTCTTGTCTGTGTGGAGTCGTTGAGATAATGCTGGCATGGCTGAAAAGGTTTTGCAGGCCACTGGTCTTTATCTCGAGTTTTAGCCAGTCTGATGGGAGTCAGGCTGGATTGAAGTAAGTCCATATTCAAGCTTCTGTCACTGGACAATTCAATGTCAGACCTTTGGCTGCCCTGCTGCTACATTCACATTACTGTCAGCTTTATCTAATTGAAGTGGTGGATTTGCTTTAGGCAAGCAGGAGCTCTGGCTTGTAAGGTCAATTTTGAACTTTTGCCAACACTTTGAAACTATCTTGTAGCAGTTTTAGCAGTTCTGTGTGGGTTTTAGCTTCAATTAAAGGTAAGCAAAGATCACTCCATGTCACAATGTTGCCAGAATTTGACTGAGCCAGTGTCTAGACAAAATGCCTTTTTGATTGTTTCTTCTATTGCTTTTTTATTACTGTACCAGTTTGAATTTCTTTCTTCCTTAGTCTCTTTTTATTGTTGACCTCCTGTTATCCAATAACATATTCTATAAAAGGTGTGTAAGGGTCAGAAAACAGTGCTGAGATAGATATTTAAAGGATACTGTTCTTTCTTACATCTGTGATAAGAGGTAAATTAACAAAACTGGTGGAGGAGAATATTGATTCTGCAAAAGTTAGTCTACAAATATAAAGCATATAGTGTCACAGAGTAAACGTGATCTGTATGATTAAGACTCGCTGGTTCTTTTAGACTAAAAGCCTTCCCGAATCCTTAAAAAGATGAAGACAATAATCTAAAAATAAGGACTTAACTGGTAAATCAGGTCTTCAAATATTCAGAATGCTAAGACCTGAGAAGCAGGAATCAACATACAGCTTTTTCTTCTAACATTACAATTTAAAATTAATCTCAAAATATTGCTCAAGGGTTTCGATCCTGGCACAGAAGGAATCAAATCAGTGAAAAGCAGCAATTCCAGGTCAAGCAGCTCTAACATATTAGCCTAAATTGATAGCCTACATACAAGATTTCCACGGTGACAAGGACATGGGCAAGCCTGCAATGAACTACATGAACCAAATATTATTGCTTTGTCAAATTGCTTAACCATAGTGGCATTAACAAAGGTATTAGAAGGTCATAAATATAACTTGTGGTAAACTGCAGGAAGCTGGTGGATTTAGTGTGTGTCTGACGTGTCGGTTTGATGGTTTGAAACCATTATAAAACAAGGTTTCTATCTGATATTTCAATGTTTATGTTTTATCTTTCAGATGATCCAGTATTCACATCCACCACACACCATGATTGTACAGAAACTGAACTTGTATCTTTTTAGCTCGTTTTTGTCTGTTTCTGATTTAGTCATTGGACTTCAACCCAGTGCAATCGATCAATGTCTCTCTGGAAAGATGGACGGTGCTGTTGTCCATCGCTCTTTCCAATTTAGCCATGGTTGGCAGCATCGTATCTCCTCCTTGATCTTCTTTCAAGAATCTTCAGCATTTTGTGGTTATCGGTGAAATTAATGCTGCGAAGGGAGTTAAGGGCTAAACATTCTAACAGTCTATCCTCAAAGAGGTTCCTATTTTAAGAACCTCCTTAGTACCATACAATAGTATACAATCAATCAAATAGTTCCATTTTTTCTGCTTTTGTCTTCACCCATTCGGCTGAAGTTCTTGTACAAGATCTTTAATTTTTACCTTCTAGGAGTTGCATCTGAAAAGTCATGTTGTTCTGATTTTAAAAGTTTAAAAAGATCTGCTACCATACAATGTACTTCACACAGTTGTTCCTTTATCCTCATTGTGAAGGAGCTGTTGTTGCAGCTCATTTCAGTTCAGAGTGTAATTTTAAACTGGATTTTCTTGCTAATCCTCCTAGCGCTGACACTATGGTTTGGTCCCTCCTGCAGGAGTCACCCTCTTTGTGGCACTTTATGACTACGAGGCACGGACAGAAGATGACCTCAGCTTCAAGAAGGGAGAGAGGTTCCAGATTATCAACAGCACGTAAGTTGCAGCTGCTTATCAGTCTGTCCACACTCAGGAGAAATGCAAGTCTACGAGAAGATGGCGCTAGCTACTTGGAGAGGTGCAGACAAGTTTTCAGATGAGTCGAAAGTGGAAGCTTGTACACGAAAAAGAAATGTTTTGGTTTCATAATGTAGAGCAGGAAAGAGCCCAAAATAAGCCTGCTTTACTGCTTCAGTTTGTGAAACATAAAAGCTGTGTTCTGCTCTGGCAACCTCAGCGTTGAAAACTCAATTATTCAAACCATGAAATAAGACCTAAGACCACAGTAGCTGGTTGAGAAAGCCAGAATTGGCAGCAGCTTTTCATAGGGTATGGCATTAAAGGGTGCAGAGCCTTTCACATGAGGTAAAAGTGGTGGCTTGAACAAGCAATATGACAGTCATGATTTTACAGAGGGTGGAGCAGGATCTCCAACCAGCAGTGATGAGTGTAGTGTAACTTCAAGACTTCCTTCTGAACAGGAAGTGCCTAGGTTACACCCACAGTCATGTTGGCTTGCCTTTCTGCTAGTCAGCAGAACTGCAGCAAAGTGTGTGTGTGTGTGTGTGTGTGTGTGTGTGTGTGTGTGTGTGTGTGTGTGTGTGTGTGTGTGTGTGTGTGTGTGTGTGTGTGTGTGTGTGTGTGTGTGTGTGAAACTGAACAAGAAAAGAGCCACAATCATCTGCCAGCTCTTTAACTATCCTTGATGGTTTTCATTGTCTTTGTGTCTGCATCCGGCTGCATCTCAGCCTGCCTCTGTTTGTTTGGGTTCCTGCGGCAGTGCGCTGACATTTGAGGAGAGCATGAACACTGCTGGGACTGCGCTGTGACCCTGTTCTCCTTCACATTTCATTGTAATAAGGTTGCTCAGTACATGTGCAGAATAGCACTGCAGAGGGGACCCATATAGTTTCAGAATTAAACAGTAGGCTGTGAGTGTTGCTGTTAGTTTTGTGATTTCTAAGCACATGAACACAGTGGAGTGACAGTATTATGTTGCTGGTATATTGCTGCTGGATTTCAAAATTGAATATTTATTTTTCAGAGAAAAGTTGGGTTTATTACTTGTAAGAAGAATGCAACCATGAAAACAAAGTTTCTATCAATCTAGTATATAACACTGTATAGTGTATAACACTGATATTGACTTCAGTTTTCCTTATAAGGCTAATAAGATCAAACTTATATGCAAAGATGAGAAATCACAGAAGCTTGTTTACCTGCTAACAGTAGGTGCAGATGGTAACTGATCTCAGAGCAGTGAAAGCAGAGCCAGCAGCAGCTTGTCTACCTCGCTAGTCTCTTGTCTCTTATCAGTTTCTTGTCAAATACGAGAGGTTTATCCACAATGCTCACACATAGACACCAGAAAAAGCTGCTGACTTTACATTGTGACAAGCTTAAATCAGGACAGATACACCAGCAGAAATGAGACACACTTCAGATTTCACTGGCCTCATAGTCATTCAGAGTTAAGGCTGCTTCCAGCGACAACAATATGGCAGTAATTTTTAAGAGACGGAGAGAGATGAGACAGGCTATGATGAAGAGCGCTGTTTGAGATGCAAAGGGAAAGAAATCTTTTGCTTTGAAATTGATGTTTATTTTTTGATTTCACTGGGCAAGTAGTGCTACCTTGCTTTCCCTGACTGAGATCAATGTATATAAATGGTAATTGTCACCCACTGGTTTTGGAGTGACCATATTGAGTTAAGAGGGTGGACCGCTAAGTTTTCAGCTTTTGGCTTTTACAATCTTGATTTCCATTGTCCTTGATAAATATAAATAAATCAACATGCTAATATGGGTTGTCAAATTAATCGGGCAGCAGCTTGAAGTAGTTTGTTAGAAATAATGTGGAAATTGCACAAATTTATCTTTTTGGTTTCAGAGAAAATTCTAAGTAAATTCTAACGGTGGAGCAATCTATATAAACCTTAGAGACTAAATTTAGGTCAAAAATGGGAAAGAAGTTCACAAATTCCCCGTGATTCCTTGTAGAAGTGAGTCAGTGCTGCTAATTTTAGTAACATGGATGTTTGTATTGGTGGTCTTACTGATACTATATTATAAACAAGCACAAGCCTCTATTGTTAAAAGGTAATGCAGTTCCCATGTGAGTTTTCTTCTGATTCATTTTCATTTTCAGCCTCTTGTCCATACATGAGTGCCTTATGGCACAACAAGGTTAGCCTTCCTTCTCACCACACCCACTTAGCCGCTGTCTTGCACATTCCACAACACACCTCGGCCTTTCCAGGGCTCCAGCCAGAGCAGGAAAAAGGTGTCATTAAAGCCCCAACCTCCCTCCTCTTCCTCCTTTCTGTATGTCTTTCTCCCCAGCATGAAACATAGATTGCTATATCTTTACTCCCTTACTTCTCTCCTTTCCACCTCTCTCCATCCACCCACGCCTCAAGTATGGTCAGGGCTCCTTTCAGCTGCCCACACTGACCCCTGGTGGAGAAAGGCAGTAAAATTGCCTAAAGCCTTCGTCTGCTCTAGCCTGTCAGAGCTGGCAGTGACTAACAGATGCCCCCGCCTGCCTGGGCAACAAACTAGTTCTGGGAGAGTCTCAGCTGACAGAAGGCAATGTGTCTCCTTTGTGTTACATGATGGCATCCTAAAGGAAACATCTCTGAATGTTTAGAAGCCACTCCCTTCAGCTCAGGTTTTTTGTAAGCCACCATTGAGCGTGTTATTGTGTAGCTTCATCAGACATAATAAAGAAAAAGAATCCTACACTACACGATTACACTATTAGTAAATTCAACTTGAATTGTTCTGATCCGACCACAGGCTATGAATAAACGTGCTGTGGTGTGAATGGCCGTCTGTACCACTCGTCTCAGTCGACACAGTGCTGTATTTAATTATACTCTCATCAGCAGTCACCACAGGGAAAGAGGATTTGAATCCATTTGGAGACAGGAGGGAGGTTCCTTGTTTACTCTCGTTGTTGTTTTCAGTCTTTTTGTGGTGGTGCAGAGTTGGTTTAAAGGGTTTGTTTCAGGAGACAAAAGAGGCAGCGGGACAGACTGGGGCTCACCCCACCCCGTCTGTTTATGCCTCCCCGGTTCCATGCAAACACACATATCGACATTACACAGAAAAACACATCCTCTTACTGCTGCATACTTTTTACCCTCAGAAGGTTTATTGTTGAGACTTCATGTGTGCCTCTCTCCCTCCCTTCCCAAGGGATCCCCTCTGAACAAAGGGAAGCGTGTCTGTTTCTGCCTGGGATGTCGTCCCCAGGCAATCCTCATCATGGCTTTATTCAGAATAAATGAAGGCTCAGCAACGCCTCTGCGCTCCTCCCCTTTCCTCCACTCCCCTCTCTCTGTCTCTTTCTCTGTCTTATAACCGTCTCTCTCATGCATAGATAAACTCACACACATCTAAAGCCATTCCTTCCCAGTGTGTAAGGGACATGATAGTAATAATTGCAGAGTGGTACAGCATGTCAGTGAGGCACGGTTTTAGCACAGAGATGGAGAGACGAAGGGTACATTGTTAGATACTACAGCAGCGGTCTCCAACCTTTTTTGCGCCACGGACCGGTTTATGCCCGACAATATTTTCACGGACCGGCCTTTAAGGTGTCGCGGATAAAACTAGTACTGGTACGGAAAAAAGAAGATTTATTCATAACACACGTGAAAAGACCCAGGAAAACCGAGTTAATGATAAAAACGATAACAAAATAACGCTGAAAACCGATAAAAACCCTGAAAACCATACATTTCACACCTGAGCCTCAACTCTCGCGGCCCGGTACCAAACGACTCATGGACCGGTACCGGTCCGAGGCCGGGGGGTTGGGGACCGCTGTACTACAGTACATTTTTACTTTTGTTGGCAAATCCAATCTGAAACTCTAAACTACTGGTGTGATTCCACCTCTCAGTGTTTTGTGATCTCCATACTTTGTCTTTATATTTTTAATATGGGTCAAAATTATTGATTTAGCTACTTATGAAACTATAGTGCAGGACGTTATTAATGTCAAATTCCTTTTTGACATTATAGTCTTTATATCAAGACGTCTGTTTTAGAACTTTAATTATTATTTGATTACAATTGATTGCTTATTATTAATTAAGAACTTGGAGGCCAGCAGTAGTTTTTCAACAAACATTTCAGAGGACTGGGGGATATAGTGCTTGTCCTTGGAGATTATTTCTAGTAGAACATTATAGAACACTTCATTTTTTGAGCCAAGCCAAGCTCAAGTTTTCAGATTTTTTAGGTCTAAATAAACAGAACTGACCAATCAGATGACTGCATTTGGCAACGAGTGTACTTGTAGCTCAAAATGCAGCCTGGTTGAATTATTATAATATATTATAATTATTAGTATAGTACTATTTCACCTCAGCCTCTGTGAATTTTTTTCCAGATGTGGTGCTTTAACTCGAACTCCTGGTTTAAACCATGAAAGTCTCCTTGCTGCTGCCTTCTCATGAGGATTGGATGAACCCAGAATCTCAGTTTCTTCCTCGTCTCGTTAGGAAACATCAGGACCAGCTTCAGCTTTTTATAACGTGTTTTCTGATGATGAGGAAATAATAATATACACCTTCAAAAAAATACATCTTTATTATATCGTCATTATGTTCTTACTTCAGCGGCTAAAATATGCTCTCCTGAACTCATTGAGCTGTTCTTTGATAACGTGCATTTCTTTTAGCTGTTTCTTAATTTTAAACTTATATAGGGATTATAGAGTTCTATATATGTTGCACAAGTGAGTGGACCAGAGCATGTCAGCTCATATAAAATGAAGTTGTATAAATGTTCTCCTTTCCTCACCCTATTCCTCTTTTTGTCTTTCAGTGAAGGGGACTGGTGGGATGCTCGCTCCCTCACTACCGGTGGCAGCGGCTACATTCCCAGTAATTATGTGGCTCCAGTGGACTCTATCCAGGCTGAAGAGTAAGTAGCATATGTGTGTGAGCGTGCACTTGTTCATACCCGCTGACTTTCATAGAGAATGTGCTCTGAAGTACTTTGAGATTAGTGGATGTGAAGCTTCAGACTGACAGCCGCACGTTAACCTTCTGAGAAAGGAAGTTCAGGAGAGAGGAACAGTTTATACTTTATACTCAAGGCAAGCTTTTCTACTGGCCTTATAAAATGGCATTTATGTGACACTATAAAGAGTATTATGTTTGATTCAGACATCAAACGGCTGGATTATTGTAATCTTCCACACAGATGTTTTTCTGAATCAAGATTCAGTCAATTCACTGTGAAGAATTATATTATTCTTGTGCATTTAGCTTTGTAGAGAAGCATTTTCATACAGTGGTAAGCTAACGAGCTCACATAGGACAAGAGAATGAAGCACCAGTGGCAGACCTGCCAGTTCTGGTGTTCTCTGGCGAATGCCATTCAAACTATATGGTGTTGGTCTGTCAGCACAGGGCCTGATAAAGGGCACTAATGTCAACCTTATAGCATCTGATTCTGACATGTTGTTGGGAAACATGCACAAGTAGATCACTGGAGGTCATTTTGGAGGGCTCTGGTAATGATGCCCTGCTCACACAAAGAAGTACATACTGGTCCAGCTTCAGGGTTAATGCATGTATATATCCCTGCCCAGCTCTTCTCATGTCTCTTGCTACTCCTGAACACTTGTGAGACTGTATTAGGAGATGCAGAAAACCCTATGTGCCTTTCTAAAAGAGCCAGACTACTTCTTCAACTTGAATGGACTACAGGTACTGTTTCATGCTACCAGTAGTGACAAGGATCCTATTGAAAACAAAAAACGAAAGAAAATTGAGTCAGGGGGACAAGGAGAGAACGACGATCTCTTGTTGGAGGTTGTCTTTGTCACGTCTGCCGGGGCAGTTGGCATGGAAGGAATGAGGCTGAGGACCCAAGTGGAGGCAAACTGAGACGAAGGTGGATGATAACAAAAGCCTTTATTGATGGTTGAACAAAAGTACAAACAGGTGGCACAGAGAAAACTAACCAAAACTAAGCATTAAGATAACGCAAACCTGAAACTAGAAAACTTGGAAACACGAGGACAGAGGTAATCCAAAGGAACCACAGAGGATGATAACATGCAGGAGGAAACGCAGACGATCAAACTGAACAAAGGAAAGCACACACTATATACACACCAGGTAACGAGGCAGGAATGCATAACAGGAGGAACACACGGCTGGGATTAATCTGACATAACGAGACACAGGAAGTAAATCAGACTACACTGACAAAGGACCAGGACCATCAAAGTAAAACAGGAAACACACAGGCTGAACTCAAGACATGTAAGCTTAACACAATGAACCTGAAACGTGGGACAGGAAGGCACAGACTAGACACAACACGGAACACAGGGAAGACACATAACAAAACCTGAAATCAGCAAATACTAAAAAACTAGGGAGCTAGAAATACTGAGACAAAAACTAGGAGACTAGCAGGGACAAATCATGAACTCAGAAACTATATAATAATTCAAAAATACAAAACCACTGAGTCACCGACCCAGGACCGTGACAGTCTTGTTGATGATTTTATACTGTACCTGTTGTTATTTTCATTTACACCAAAGCATTTAGAATCCACTCACAATAGTTTATGCATCCTTGCTGGACAGATTGATATCCCTAAAGTTTAACTGACTAACTTATACTGTGATGATCAGGTGTTCCCTTAAGATTTTTGAGCAGTGTATTTTTTTCTATAAAAAATGTAGTTAAATGTAGCTAACAAAGCAGTAATTGATGCTCTTGTTGATGGAGCTTAGGGTTGTAGTACATCCATCAGTTGAAAGGGCACTCAGAAATCTGTGAGGGGAGCAGAGACAGCTGCTGGGTAGTGTTGAGCACGAATCGTTTTCCAAATTATTGCTCTCACGTTGCCATTAGGGGTGGGGGGAAAAATCAATACTGTGTAGTATCGTGATATTTTGTTTGCTAATAATGTATCGATACAGGGACAGCAGAAATCGATATTTTGTTACAAAAAAAGTTTTTGTGGACTGGAACTCTGACTTCAGAGCATGTTGATCCTTTTTCTGAGCAAGAATCCTGACATTCCTTCACTGTCCAAATGTGTTTAACTTGTTTTTTGGCAGCAATAAACATGACAGTTTACTTATTTTAATTTAAGACATGTTTTATTTTAATTAAGTTTAAAACTTTTTTATTTAATGTAAAATTATATTTTGTTTTAATTTACTTTCAAATTCTTCAGTTGCTGAATGGGCTGCATAGTTTTCATAAATTGCATAGTTCAGAATAGCTATAATTGTACCAGATGGTTGCATTCAGTTAAGTTGGACTAGACTGTAATACAAACCATTCAGTTTGTCAACAATAAAACTGACTGAAATGAGAGAAAGACTGAGTTCGAGACTTTGATATTAGATAAAATGAATATTGATAAAGTTTACCTTTATGTACAGAATCTGAATATCGCAAAATATTTTTAAAAATTGCAATAATATCGTATCGTGCGTTAAGTATTGTGATAAGATCGTATCGTGGGATGTATGGTGATTCCCACCTCTAGTTGCCATGTTGTGATACTCGAAACAAATATGTAATGTAGGAATGTAGATTGTCAGTGTTACTCTCCATCCATAATATCAGTGTTGACCGTCTCATCATCACTTGATTTCATCATGTGTTACATAATGTTAAAAGGTCAGCTGGCAGCAGGGCTCTCAGTGATGACATCGCAAACCCCGTGTTCCAGTGCTATCATACACATTTTGGCCTCATTCATTTGTCCAACAGTGTTGGACAAATGTTGGACAAATGAATGGCCTCTTGAGAATTACGCTTATCTTAACAGTCTTTTAGCATCATCAGACTAAAAAGCTCCACGATACTGTCCGGGATTTTCTGATTCCTTGGCAAAGACCAAGGAACTGATCGTGGACTTCAGGAAGACCAGGAAACACTTGACCCCTGTTTCAATCCAGGGGGTCAGTGTTGACATTGTGGAGGACTATAAATACCTTGGAGTACACATTGACAATAAACTGGACTGGGCTAAAAACACCACAGCACTTTACAGGAAGGGCCAGAGTCGTCTCTATTTTTTGAGGCGACTGAGGTCCTTCAACATCTGCCAGAAAATGCTGAGGATTTTCTATGAGTCTGTTGTGGCCAGTGCGATCCTCTATGCTGTTGCATGCTGGGGGAGCAGGCTGAGGGTTGCAGATGCCAACAGACTTAATAAACTGATCCGTAAGGCCAGCAATGTTGTGGGGATGGAGCTGGACTCCCTCAAGGTGGTGTCGGAGAGGCGGATGCTGTCCAAGATAAAGACAATGTTGGATAACACCTCCCACCCACTCCATGACATGCTGGTCAGTCACAGGAGCACGTTCAGTGAGAGACTGAGATTACCGAAAAGCACCACTGAACGACACAGGAAATCTTTCCTGCCTGTGGCCATCTCCCTGTACAACGCATCCACTTAACACACTGGTTACTGCTACAACTACACATGTTTCTTTTCCAACTATTTATTTATGAGTGACTTATGTATGTATGTATGTATATATATGTATATATTGTACTATTCTTAGTTAGTGTATTGTCTGTCTTGTCTTAATGTTGGTTTAAAATGGAGCACTGTAACAAAAAATAATTTCCCCCAGGGATCAATAAAGTATTCTGATTCTGATTCTGATTTTGGCAATACCCCTGGAAATAGTAGTACTATGATGTGACCTTATGCATGACTTGAACACAGTGACTGCAGTGTGTCTGTGTTTGACTTCTTTTCCTATATTTGCAGCTGGTACTTTGGTAAACTGGGCCGTAAGGATGCAGAGAGGCAGCTACTGTCTACTGGCAACCCTCGAGGCACCTATCTCATCCGAGAAAGTGAAACCACAAAGGGTAAAAAAACCCACAAAACAGACACACTGACACACATCGACCTGTAAGTGTGTGTGTTTATGCCATGACAGATTTACTACTTAGGAGTAAGAAGTGTTCACAGCTGCCTGATGGTGTAATCACAAGTAGAACGCATGGAGTATTTTCTAAGCTCTCATATTTCTCATAAGACTTTTGTAGTAAAAGTGTAGTGTGATAGCCTCTGCTTTTTGAATAGCAGCAGAACTGGATGGGTAGAAGTGAGTACTGAAGTGTTGAATGGGAACTTGGTGTTCAGTGATTCGAACCTCCTGGTCTGTCTTCCTCAGGTGCCTTTTCCTTATCCATACGGGACTGGGATGATCTCAAGGGCGACCATGTCAAGCATTATAAGATCCGCAAGCTAGACAGCGGCGGCTACTACATCACTACCAGGGCTCAGTTTGAAACACTGCAGCAGCTGGTTCAGCACTATTCAGGTAAAATACAAAGATTCTATAATTTGTCATGTTGTGTAAACTTGTAACTATTTTTGTTTGTTGTGTATTTAAGGTCGACTTAAAAAAAGGTAGCTTTGCAGTTTGTTCTTGTAAATGCGCGACTGTTCAGTTTGAATGATTTTAGATTGTAATTGCTTCTTCCACATGAGCCACAACAGTGTTCAGTGCCGTTTTGGTTGAATGTCATTAAAGCTGATGGAGAGGTGGAGAATGGCTAAAGGAAGAGTCTGTGCAGGTGTAGAGCTCTTTGTTTCAGAAAACGCTGAATATGAGCCATTGTCATTATTTATTCAAGTAAATTTGAAGAATTTCAAAATATTCTCATTCTGGTCTGTTTGGATTTTCTCCTCTTTGTTAGGACAAAATATACTATGAGATAATACAATATGGTTTTATATGTTTGTAGAGGTATAGGGCTACGTTTGTGTGTTAATCCTTATATATTTATATATTTAAAGTATATATACTTATATATTTAGTATTTAAAAGTAGAATGGGAGGCAGAGCGTTTAGTTTTCCGGCCCCTCTTCTGTGGAACCAGCTTAATTCAGGAGATAGACACTATCTGTCTCCCACTTCAAAGTTTCCTTTTTGCTAAAGCATATAGTTAGGGCTGGATCAGGTGACCCTGAATCCTCCCTTAATTATGCTGCAGTAGATGTAGGCTGCTGGATGATTCCCATGATCTTCAGTCACCTTTCTGACTCACTATGTGTTAAATAATGTTCATAATATTCTAATATTATCTAATATATCTAATAATCTAAACTCTACGCTTACAGTACAATGCTTCCACTAAAGCTATTAGTTTTCCCTTTTTTCATATAGATATATATATGTTGTTAAAAGCTTATGTTTAAGATGGACAACCAGTCAGTCAGTCTAAATGGAGAGGGAACAGAGCTAAAACAGCCTCACTAATGCTGAGTGTAAGATAATAAGAATCAATTTGAACCTAGAAAAAAACAAATAAAATAGGTTGATCTTAACAAAAATCGTCCAGTTTTAAATGTGTTTATCCTTTTTATATGCTCCACTTCTCCACCAGGTCTTAGGAAATTCAGCTTGGTACTTTCTGCTTCAGTCCAGGTAGACAGGAATGATCACATAAATTTAAGTTCAGATAATAATCTGGTAATATTTAATGCTGTACTGGGAAATGCTGAATGTATGATGCAGATGTCAAGAAAGTGCATCGCTGGCCTGAAAACAAGCAGATCAAACGGGAGAAATGCCTTTTCTTTTTTTAAAAGCCTTCCAGACAGACGTTGCCGTAGACAGATTTGTCGGTGGATGCAGAGCACTGACACTGCGACCCCATTTTCACAAGCCCAAATAGGAAAGTGTTTTGTGTGGTGTCCATTTCCGTGAATTGATCAAACATGCATTAAGCAAACACTGTTACGCTGTTATTGCATTTTCACATACAGGAATAGAAGATGACTCGTACTGTGAGACACAAAGACATGGCCTGTGTTGGAATACCTGCTAGTTTGTGTCTCACGTGCAACTGGATTCACATTAATTTTTAATGCAGCAAACAAGAGGCCACAGAGAGAGCACTCTGACACCCTGAAGAGCCACTGTGAGCCCATCCTGCTGTTCATATTGAGCTTATTGGAAACGGACACCCCACTGGTGCACTGACACATATATGTTTTACTTATTACTTGTTAACACGGATTCTGTTTTTCAGCATTTTCTCACTGTCTCGCTTCTACTTGTGCTTCTTTGAAAGCGTGCTCATTTGTTGTGTTTGATCTCTCTCATTCTGCGTCCCTTTGACTAAGAACGGTGCTTTTCCAGTCACGCTCCAGTTGTCATTGACATATTGATCTCTTGAAGTCCTAAAATCAGTGCCATGGATTTTCTGTATGCGTTAGCGTCATGGCACATTAACTGTCCGTCCTGCACTTTATCGCCACTCTAAATGGCATATGGAGCACACCTTTGCAAATAACCTTGACTCTTTGCAGGGCTTATGCTTTTATTGCTTTCTGCTTTGCGCTATTTTCTATTTTACATGTTGCTGAAGAGCCGAGGAGCATATCGGGCATCGAAGAGCGTTGTTCTGTTCTTCGCATCACCTGCAGGGGTCAGAAAGCAATAACTCTTGGCTGCTAATCTGGCCAAATTCACTAACAGGCTGAGAATCAAACCTAGCTTTACTCTGTTCAAACGACATTTCTGCTAGTCACGAGAGAGAAAATTAAAAGCTGCACGTGATGAAATAAAATAGTCAGTTTCAAGGAGTACTGAGTTTTGTTTGTTGTTTTGTTTTTAATTTTTATCGTTTTGCATTTTTTAGTTGTAGAAATCCGATTCCTTAAGTGTGTTTTTACAAATAAATGGCTGCAGTTCATGATGATGCTTTTGCTTTTTGCATTCCACTGATGTCAAGATCACTCTCTGGTCTTTACCTTATAAGGTCAAATGCCTTCTTGTGAATTGGTACCATTTAAATAACATTTTATTAAAATGCATTGATAGAATCAGTGGCTTCAGGGGAACAAATTACAGTAGGAGTGTTGTTACCTGCTCTCACTCATTCACATTCTGGTTGCGTAATAATGTCTTTAAAGGCAACTGACCCAAGAGAAGACCAGGAAACAATCCTCTGAAATGATTTATTGCGATTATAAAACGGTTAACAAGCTAGCCCTGTCTACTTTTATATTCTGTTTATTTATTTTTTTCGTGATAAATTGATGTGATAAGGCACTGAATGGATTTGTGTATGATCCTACCATCATTCTACCAAAACCAGGTGTTGGGAATTGCTCAGGTTTGTAATTGATTAGAGAGCAGAACATAAACTTTAATAACTGTCAGCAATAACACATTTATGAGCAGGCAAAATGGAGTTCAGCAGCATCACAAAGACTAACTTGGTCTTCAAAATAAAATGAGCTTTCCACACTTTAAGTCGCCACCTCTTTCTGTGAAACACCCTCTGCTTCTGTGTTTTCTCCGTGGAGACGGTGCACATATTGACAGCTTTTATGACAGCCAGTGGAGAATACACAGAGCCGTATTGATGTTTGAGCGGAGCAGCTGTGGTAGCAGGCAGGTGGCCCAGATGGGCTTTGATGGCCGTGTTCCAGGTTTAACACTCCTGTGGGTGAGACGCGGGCCTTTATCTCATCTTTACTGCCCTGTGCAAACACCCTGGGGTCTTACCAGTGACCGTGAGGATAAAAACCAAGGGTCACTTTATCATTGCTGTCAAGGCAATATCTAAATATCAGCGTGAGGATGCCTGCGGAAACTCTGACCTAATCCACTGGCTTAATCAGTCGGGGGCAAACATGAGACTTCCTTCAGAGTATAAGAAAGAATGATTTGAACGAGCACATAGATGTCGTGGTGTTATCAGCTAAAGTGACAGCAAACAGGCCTAATCTAAATGGAAAGGGCACTCATCGTCCTAAACAAGTATGGTCGATAATGCTTTTCACAGTACACAAAGTACCTATGATTTAACGTTACATAACTATAAATATATACATTTTACCGTGCAGCTATCTCTTTACGTAAATGGCCATTGTTATCGTAAACCGTGTGCACGTCGCCATGCCCTTAGCCACAGGAAGCCTTTAGAGTCTTTAGTTCTGCTTGTTGCTATTGAGTGTTGAAGACTTTTACTGTTATACTGTGATACTCTACCAACCCAGGCCAGAAATAACCATTAAAGTCATTTAAATTTCAGCTGTAACTGCAGAGCTAGGTACTGTTTTATTTTAGCTTTCCAGCAACAGATGATGCTTGTGAACTTATAGCACACTCAGAGGTAGACTGCCAACAATTTGAAATGACAACCGACCCCCAGTTTGGCTGTTTGGCTACACGTCAGAGCTGGCGTTTGTATCTCTGGCTGCTGTTTTAACCCCTTCACCACCCAACACCCAACAGTCTATACATCATTACTCGCTTGTTTTACAGATTGTTGGGAGTTCAGAGGGTAGACTTCCAACTCTAACTATGCTCTGAAATCATATTATAGAAAATGAGAACATTTTAATAGATTTCTATTCGTTTTGGCTATTAGGAAGAATATACTTAACAAGTTATTACATAAAAAGCCAGTTGTGAAAAGTTCATCCGCCAGTGCTACATCACAACGCTCTAATTTTATAAGTATGAGACGCGTGTGACTTGTAAGCAAACTGATTAATCTGATGATCAAGATGGATGAAAGAGGCCACATCCTGAATCTTTTCACCTGTAATCAGCTCATGTGCCCACCAGAAAGTGAAAACAGAGGCGCTGGTTCTCAGCTTTGATGTTTACTATGCTTCCAGTTGTTGTGCCACTCTGAAGCTTGTCTTTGTCTCCTGCAGGGTGCTGCGCTAACCCTCTGTACATCTCCCTCTCTCTGTCTCTGCTCTTTTTTGCGCGTTGCCGTGTGCTGTGTGCAGATCGAGCCGCGGGGCTCTGCTGTCGCTTGGTGGTTCCCTGCCACAAAGGCATGCCCCGCCTCGCTGACCTGTCCGTCAAAACCAAAGACGTGTGGGAGATCCCACGGGAGTCGCTGCAGCTGATCAAGCGTCTCGGGAATGGGCAGTTTGGGGAGGTTTGGATGGGTACGGATCGAGTCGCCTCCTAGTAAGGGGGCCACTCGGAAGGAGCCACACAGAGCTGACGGAGACACCAGACACAGTCCAAAACACAGGCCAATAATCTGATGGGTTCGATCAAATGAGAACATGGGGCAAAAATGTTGGTAATTCTTAGATTGAGGGTGTTGCCAGTCAAATTGTCCTTGTTTTCCAAACTTTTCTGCCAAAATAATCTGGAAAAATTATCCAGTGTGTCAGGAAACTCTCACAGCCTAAAGATGGCCTCCTTCCATGTGTACCTCACTGCATGTTCCTTTCCCCTAACCCTGTTTGCCTTACCTCCCCCCCTCCCCTGTAGAGAGTGCGGATGGTTTGTGCTTTAATTTAACGGGCGTGTGTGTGAACTACATCCCTGACACTGTGGGCTTGAGTCATGATGCCTGGGAGATCAGCAGAGACGCACTTGAGTTGGAAGTAAAGCTGGGAACAGGATGTTTTGCCGATGTGTTTTATGGTAAGAAAATTCAAAACCAAACTTTGAAATTTTCACTCTGGCCCATCCCACAAGTACACGTGGAGTCTCCTTTATGCTCATCTATGTATTCATAATTGTGCCAAGAAGCTATTTTGCCATTTCACATGCAAGCTGGAGCTTTCTTATCCCTCTCCAGCACTCCCACAGGATTTTTGTTTTAGTTTCTTAAGACATAAACTATAAAGTCTCTTTGAAAATCAGCTGATACCTATAAGAATAGTTTTCCACCCCACAGTGTATGTTTGCATTCTTATAATATTCCAGTTGAACACTGAGGTGGCCCTGAAAGGTGAAATGCATTGCAGCTTAAGAAAACACCAGCAAACAGAAAATACTCAGCAAAAGTACACACAAACACACACAACAATACTTTTTGTGTGCTTTTGCAGTATTTCTCTATTTGCTGATGGTTTCTCAGTTGCAGTATGTTTGACCTCTCTGGGCCACTGTAGCAGCAGGTTACCAGTCCTGACTTCCAAAATTGAAAGCACAGTCACGATGCTACAGAAGCCCACTCTGATATATGAGCTTAATCTTAAATTAAGCCCCTTAAAATAAACAAGTAGGTCAAATTTGTCTTTCCTAAGATTCTTGTATGTTTACTGTAAAAAATAATATAAAAAAGGTACTGCTTCAATAAAATAATTGAAGTCATCCATACCTTTACCTACATTCACACAGTATTTTGATAGAGTGCATATTGGAGGCATAGCCATGCTGTGTTACAGTCACTGACATGTAACCAGTGAGGAGCTTACAGGCTTGCCTTTGTTGATCATCCTACAAAGGATTATCCGCTCCCATGTTGGCGTATTGTGACTCTTAAAGCCCTGCTGAATCTCTCTCCAAGCCTTTAAAAACCATTTCAAATCAATGTCCGCTCCAAATCCCGTACACATTTAATTATCCTTCAGCCCAACCACTGTGCATGAAAGATTATTCCCTCAGTCTCTCGATCGCTTCCTGTCTTGCATGTTTATCTCGTTGTCATTTCAAAGCAAGACTTTCCCCATGTTTTTAAACTACAGTTGCCTCACACCTGCCAATCATGTCTTCGGGTTAGAGCACAGGGTTGTCAAGCTTGACTTTGAAATGACACGAATGCATTTTCCCACTGTACTGATGCCAGCTTCTGTGTACCAGGAACGTGGAATGGCACCACTAAGGTGGCAGTGAAGACTCTGAAGCCTGGCACGATGTCCCCAGAGTCCTTCCTGGAGGAGGCTCAGATCATGAAGAAACTCCGTCATGATAAGCTGGTGCAGCTTTACGCTGTTGTGTCTGAGGAGCCCATTTACATCGTCACAGAGTACATGGGCAAAGGTAGATGGAACACACCCACAATCCACAGCTGCTTACTTGCGTTTTTCATTGCACCCCAAAAGTGCTAGTTATTCACTTGTTAAAAAATAATTATTTTTATAAAATAAGAGTTGATGCAACAGTTTCCTGTTTCAAAATATGCAGTTTCTCTCGCTTTTACAAGCATCTTATACTATGTAGAGTGATTTTATTGAAGAAGAATAGAAGAATTTTGTCATCACCATTCAATTACGAAAAAGATGAATTTTTACAGAATTTCTGTTGAAAGAGAAAACTAATAATGGAGACACAAGCTTAAAGCTCTGTGTGACAAAAATGGGTTGTAAAGCAGTTGACCTTGCGTTGCTTTTGGTTGCATGTCAGCGAGTTTGCCTCTCTCACCCTTGTGCAGAAACAAAGTGTGAGAGAGGAAAGGACTAACACCAAACAAGAGAAATAGCTCTTGGTATGGTTTTGTGCGTAAGCTGCAGACTCAGAAAACGTAACACAGCCAAGTTTTGCAAAGCAAAGCAAAGTTAATTTCCATTAGTAGAAGAGTTTAAAGTTCTATGTTATGTTGTATGTTGGTTGTGTGACCAGCTCAGTCCAAGCCCCTGTATGTGTCTTCACTGACCACTATCTCAGTAAAAAGTAACCCCGGCGGAAGGGGCTACATGAATAGGATGAGGGACCTATGGATTCTTCGATACCCAACATCCACAATGACGGCGAAACAACTAGTAGCTCAGTGTTCCAATATTCGAAAGAAGGGACTGCTCTCACAGCTAGAGATTGACGAGGTACAACACAAATGCTACGGCAAGGAGGAGTCAGGACGCCAGGTCAGGGGGGCGATATCATCACCCCCACCCAAGATTGGGTACATAGCCCCAAGTGCGATAGGAGAAGGATCGTTGAGTGCGAGAGGAACTGACCTGAAAAATAGGATCATGGCCAAGCTTGAAACCTGGATCCCCCGTAGCCGGTTACCAAGATTACGTGAAGTACCCTCAGAAGGTCTGCTAGATGATGTTAATGCAGCACTACGGGCAATACCTACAACCACTAACAAGCTGATCTACAATACGGCAGCAGTGATCAGTGAGATGCTTGGCTACAAGTTGAACAGCGACAAGGGGCAGTACCCTCCATGGAGAAGGAGGCTAGAGGGCAAGATCAAAGTAGCACGGAGGGAGGTTAGCCAACTAACGGAGTTGCAGAAAGGTGCGACAAATAAGGTGCCTAAGAAATACAGCAAGCTGTCCATACCTGAGGCCTTGGAAACTGCCAAGCAAAGACTCACAGCCTTGGCCAGCCGCTTGAGGAGGTACACCAGAGAGATAGAAGGCAGGAGAATAAACCAGCTGTTCTCCACAGAACCAGCAAAGGTGTACTCTCAGTGGCAAGGGAACAATAAGAGAACAGCACCACCAAGGCTGGAGACGGAGCAATACTGGAAGAGCATATGGGAGAAGGATGCAACCCATAACGGCAATGCTCAGTGGCTAGTGGATCTGAGGGCAGACCACAGCGACCTCCCTGAACAGGGTCCAGTAACCATCACAGTGGCAGATATCCAAGAAAGGGTCTCCAGTATGAAGAGTTGGACAGCACCAGGGCCCGACATGGTTCACGCCTACTGGCTGAAGAAGCTGACTGCACTCCACGAGCGTCTGGCAGCACAAATGAACCAGCTGCTAGTTAACGAGAGACACCCGGAATGGCTAACTGAAGGCCGGACGGTCCTGATCCCCAAGGACCCCAAGAAGGGACCGGTCCCCTCCAACTACCGACCAATAACCTGCCTCAGTACTACATGGAAGCTCCTGTCAGGCATCATATCGGCTAAGATGAACAGGCACATGGGTCAATACATGAGCGGGACACAGAAAGGAATTGGCAAGAATACCAGAGGCGCAAAACACCAGCTACTGGTAGACAGAACAATCAGCCGAGACTGCAAGACCAGACTGACCAACCTGTGCACTGCCTGGATTGATTACAAGAAGGCCTATGACTCAATGCCCCACAGCTGGATACTGGAATGCCTAGAATTGTACAAGATCAATGGGACCCTAAGAGCCTTCATCAGGAACTCAATGGGGATGTGGCGTACAACACTAGAGGCCAACTCCAAGCCCATAGCACAAGTCACCATCAAGTGCGGGATCTACCAAGGAGATGCTCTGTCCCCACTGCTGTTCTGCATAGGCCTGAACCCCCTCAGTGAGATCATTAACAAGACTGGCTACGGATACCGACTACGGAACGGAGCAGTTGTCAGCCACCTCCTGTACATGGATGACATCAAGCTGTATGCCAAGAGTGAACGAGACATCGATTCACTGATCCACACTACCAGGCTATACAGCAATGACATTGGAATGTCGTTCGGACTGGAGAAGTGTAGTTGGATGGTAACAAAGAGAGGGAAGGTAGTCAGAACTGAGGGAATGAACTACCAGAAGGCAACATTGCAGACATAGAGGACAGTTACAAGTACCTGGGGATCCCGCAGGCGAATGGGAACCATGAAGAGGCCGCTAGAAAAGCTGCAACCACCAAGTACCTGCAGAGGGTCAGGCAAGTCCTGAGGAGTCAGCTGAATGGTAAGAACAAGATCCGGGCCATCAACACGTACGTCCTGCCCGTGATCAGGTACCCTGCTGGGGTAATAGGCTGGCCAAAGGAGGAGATAGAAGCCACTGACATAAAGACAAGAAAGCTCCTTACCATGCATGGAGGGTTTCACCCCAAGTCCAGCACCCTGAGGCTGTACGCTAAGCGGAAGGAAGGGGGCCGGGGACTGGTGAGTGTCAGCACCACAGTCCAGGATGAGACAAGGAACATCCAAGAATACATTGGGAAGATGGCCCCAACTGACCGAGTGCTCAGTGAATACCTCAGGCAGCAGAAACCCAAGAAAGAGGAGGGAGACGAGGAACCATCATGGAAGGACAGGCCCCTGCACGGTATGTACCACCGGCAGATAGAGGAGGTGGCTGATATCCAGAAATCCTACCAGTGGCTGGACAAAGCTGGACTGAAAGACAGCACAGAGGCACTAATCATGGCAGCACAAGAACAAGCTCTGAGCACAAGATCCATAGAGGCTGGGGTCTATCACACTAGGCAAGACCCCAGGTGCAGGCTGTGTAAATGGTGGTGGCTAACCAACCGGACATAGTGGTGGTAGACAAACAGAAGAAGACGGCCGTAGTGATCGATGTAGCGGTTCCGAATGACAGCAATATCAGGAAGAAGGAACACGAGAAGCTGGAGAAATACCAAGGGCTCAGAGAAGAGCTCGAGAGGATGTGGAGGGTGAAGGTAACGGTGGTCCCCGTGGTAATCGGAGCACTAGGTGCGGTGACTCCCAAGCTAGGCAAGTGGCTCCAGCAGATCCCGGGAACAACATCGGAGATCTCTGTCCAGAAGAGCGCAGTCCTGGGAACAGCTAAGATACTGCGCAGGACCCTCAAGCTCCCAGGCCTCTGGTAGAGGACCCGAGCTTGAAGGATAAACCGCCCGCAGGGGCGTGCTGGGTGTTTTTTTTTTTTAAAGCCATAAAAAGCATATATTGTGGCCTAAAAGTAAAACTTGTGGCCAGTTAAAAAAATGTCTGTCAAAGCACTTTGTTTCATTCCAGTCTGAAGAGTGAGCGCTCTGGAATGGCAAACCCTGCCTTTCAAAGAGAGTGGAGATGATTAAGGCCTGCAAAACAGTCCTTCAAAACACTGGGGTTCAGAGATGCCACAAGAAAGCGTTGTGGACGCGCATTAATCACCAGAGAATGCAAGAATGGAAACTTTGATGTACGTTGCTGTGTCTGCTGCGTGCAGAGCCTGCCATATCTAGGTCAGCCAATTAAGCTGGAGAGGAGTGCCTTTAAAAGAGCCGATCCACTGTGGAATTGTATGAGTGTAGAAGTTTATGTGGGGATCTTTTTAGGTCCACCAATCCAATATTTATTTTTGTAGCTGGCGAGCTTTTTGTGGCTTATTTCTAAGAGATATTCACCTGATTTTTCTTCAAGGTTATTTTACTTCAGATTTACAAACACTTCCTGTGTTCCTGTATTGCACAGGGCACGGAAACCAAAACTGATTTAATAAAGTTGTGTTTTATTTATTTTATTGTGCACATGTGTGCAACATAACATGTTTTTATGCCTACTCCAGGAAGCTTACTGGACTTTTTAAAGGATGGAGAAGGACGAGGGTTAAAACTGCCTAACCTGGTGGACATGGCTGCACAGGTATGCCACAGACTTCAGGTTATGGTCCTGAAAATGGTCCTGCTATGGCAGCAAAATCTGTTTGTGCAACCATAAATTCCAAAACATCCCAAAACCGTTAGGACACTGAATAAAATGTAAATATGCAATTCAATTCAGTTTGATTTATATAAATGTACACCCTACAATATGTGGTACTATGAAGTCTTTTAAGCTAAGATAGGGCCTGATTATTCAATATAATCACATATATTCTAATATGTGATTAGAATATGGTCTGACATTGGTTAGATTAGAATATATGTGATATATTTGAATAAATTTAAAATAGATTCTGGATTTAAAAGGGATCCAATGAAGAGAAGCCAGTACAGGAGAAATACGCTCTCTCTAGTATTCTCTGTTAGGATTCTTGCTCCAGCATTTTAGAACAACGAAAGGCTAAAGTCCGCCTCTAGTGGCCACTCCAGAAACTGCACTTCTGCATTGGCTTACTTTTTCAACCCCAGAACTTGTGCCAGTAATTCTACAGCTTTGTTCTTTATAAAATATGATTCTACACTGGTTTCAGTGTACCCTTCTTGTTGTCCTCTTTTCAAAACTGCAACTTTATGATTGCTCTAATCATGTGATTAGAGGACTTCATTAAGAGATAACTTGAGGGCTTCTATTGTCAATTTCTTTTTATTTGACCCAAATCTTTAGCAAATAGAGAGTCATTGAGAGAGAAGTTGAATCAAACCAATCCAAACTGCAACGACATATCTTACTGAGGGCTGTCCTATCAAAAAACAAGCTTTACCTACCATTAGATATAGATATAGATAAATAGATATAGATGCTATTAAATGTATTCTCGTGAAGTGAGAGCAACTCACAGTTGAGACAGAAATTTCTTTAGCTATTGTTGCCTTCTGTGCTGTTCTCAAGGTGGCAGCAGGTATGGCCTACATTGAGAGGATGAACTACATCCACAGAGACCTACGCTCTGCTAACATCCTGGTTGGCGACAACCTGGTGTGCAAGATCGCCGACTTTGGCCTGGCAAGGCTCATCGAAGACAACGAATACACGGCTCGACAAGGTAGGGCTTCTAACTCCTTTCCAACTCGCTCAGAAACGATGTTAAATGCACATACTTAATGCTCCCACTCACACAAGCTCACATGCTGCCTGACTGCATTAGATCATGGAGGAAATTCGCTCTGGGAGTTGCAAGTTTTGCATTACACCCACAAGAAAATGACTAGCCAGCACAGCCAGTCAGCTCCAAATATTTTTCTCAATAACACAGACATTGAGGGAAGACACTCCCTGCCCCAGAGACACAGAGAGATTTTAAACTGGACATCATGTTACTTCACTATTGACCCTTGAAGCCTTTGAGATATTCAGATATCAGGTTGTGCTAGCTGTTCCCTGATTTGGAGAAAACATATTTGTACATTCTGCATTCTGGAAGTATAAATAAATATCCACAGACCTTTTTCTGATCTAATTGCCATTTCATCCATCAATCCATTTTCATCCGCTTACCCAATTCGGGGTCATGGACAAAGTGGAGCCTATTCCAGCTACCGTAGGTGAGAGATGGGGTACAGCCTGGACAGATCACCAGTCTGTCTCAGAGACACCAAAACGTTGCTGTGCCCTCATAAAATAATTCTTGGGTTTAATCCTTTTAATTCAACAAAGGAACATTTTCTTCCACATTTGAACTTTAAATGTGCAGAAAGACAGTTTCATTAGATTAACGTTTATAACAAATGTACGTGTCAGCACTCAGAATACTGTAAATATCGTCATTTCCCAGCTGGTTAGTTGAAGCTCATAGCAGCTGTTCATGCCATTTCTATGTGCTCAGCAGATACTGTCATTATGTTGTAATTTCTTTCCTCCCTTTGACAAATGAAGTCATTTTGTTGCACACATGTTCTTTGCTCTCTGCTAGATGCTTCACTTCACTTTTAAAAGTCAGACCTCTGATGTTTAATCTCTGGTCTCTAATTTCCTTCCTGACTTTTCCCAGGAAGTACTTTTAAAGTTTAATCAGTTACAATCAATGACAGCGTGTGAAGGGGAACCTAAGAGAAAACGTGAATGTTCCTTTTTATCCTGTAAATTTTTTTACAGGCTGTATTGCTGGTATCAAATTTGTACATGTTAGCATTGTTCACTTAAAAGAGAAAGGCCACCACATATACAATAATATGCATTTACACACATACACTCACACACACAAACACACACACACACATGTATATATATGTATATGTATATATATGTATATGTGTATATGTGTGTACTTTAAAGATAAATTCATCAAGCTAGTTTAAAATGATAAGGGACTGTGAAGGCCCAGTATAACAGAAAAAAGGATCATGTTAAACTGAATAAACCTGAAGTGTAGACATGCTCTCCTCGTTAATACTAATGTGGTCTCACTGCTCTCCTTCAGGTGCAAAGTTTCCCATCAAGTGGACCGCCCCAGAGGCCGCGTTGTATGGGAAGTTTACCATCAAGTCAGACGTGTGGTCGTTCGGCATCCTGCTGACGGAGTTGGTCACCAAGGGTCGGGTGCCTTACCCAGGTAAGGAAGGGGAAGGATCAAACGGTGCAGTAGAAGCTAAGGTCTGCTCGCTCAGCTGCTTTCACCTTGAGCCGGTCAGTCTACACTGATTAAGGGGCTCAATAAAGGGGAACTGCGAAACACTGAGCAGTTACCAAAGTACACACAGCTATCACAACAGGCAGCTCCTGCTGCTGTTTATGGGATTAAAATGTTCCTTTACGCTTGGGTAACCTTCGTTTCCCTGCCAGAATATGAGCTAACCCTTAATTACTTCTGCTGCCCTGTGGGACAAGATACATTTTACACAGAAACAAAAAGAAAGAGAGTGGGAGAGGCTGGGGCGTACTCCGTATACAGCTCCATGCAGGGAGGGGGAACATGTTTGGCCAGATGGTGCTGGTGGGCTGGTTCTGCTGTAGAGAGCAGGTGAGGATGGTTAGCTTGCAAGTGAGCTGAGGGAAAAGCAGCACCTTAACAGCTTTATAAGGTAGTGGACAAAATAGCAGAAAAATGGACTCAAGAAAGAGAACTATCCTACCCAGGAGACACTTGAGATGAAGATTATTGCCAGATTCAGTTAAAAACTGGAAGGTTTCTCAGATCATCTGGAAAGAGACCCCGTAGAATTCAGCTGTTTTTAAAAAGGGAAAAGACATCATTTGAATTTATATTGAATTTTATCTGATCTCAGGGTCAAAATTATACAACATCAGTAAAATTTGGTTAAATGTCTCGTGGCAAGTTTCACTTCAACACTTTTGGGAGCCAACAACAAGCTTCTAGCATACTTCAGACTGGATATTTGACTGTTCATTGAAGTAGGTTGGCATGAAGCATAGTCCACAAATTTTAATAGGCATGAGGTTGGTGTGTTGGGAAGGCCTCTGTGTTAGAACACAGTTTCAACTGTCTGGCTGTCTGGTTGGAGAATTTGGAGGTAGTCCATTATTCCGTTCACTTTGTGCAATGTACCACGAGCCTCTAGCAGCACAACATCCCAAGAGCATGACGCTACCACCACCATGCTTGACACTGTTACAGAGTTCAGCTTTGCCTCATCTTTACTACTACAATAATATCTCTCGTCATTGTGGCCAACTAGTTCAATTCTTTGTCCCATTTGACCACAAAGCTTTTCTCCAGAAGGCATTTGGCTTCAAATTTTAGTCAAGCACTGAGGACAATGACTGTGTGTTTGAGCAGATTCCAGTTTTTGGCAGGTTTCGAGCCACAGTGGATCGTGAGTTGTTCCTAAACAACCTAACCAATGTTAGACCATCAGAATAACTTTTACTTGAGTACAGTTGTTTCAACTGATGATCTGAATCAGCACTTGTCTAGAAATGGCTCCAGAAGACCTTCCCAACTTGTATAAATCTACAATTCTTCGTCGATGTTCACTGAGTTCCTTGTCCTTTCCCATTGTTCTGTATTGGTCAATATAAGGCTGCAACAATGCATTGAGTAACTCAAATAACTTGATTACAAAATGAGGGATTACAAAGAGCGAAGAGATGGGATTAAAGAGATTAAAAAGATGGTGAGCTCAGGTGGAGTCAAAAAAGGGGTTTTCTAGCATCCAGAACAACCAGCTGTAATCAACATTCAAATCTTTACTGAGAAAAAGCCGACAGGAATCCTTCATCAAAGCACCTGATTAACAACCTCCAACGTGAAGAAAAGCAAACTTTGTAGCTGCTTCCATCCACTGCTGTGTGTCTGTTTGATCACCTACTGAAAAGAAAATAAGCAAAAAGAGAAGAACACAGTAGGGAGACCACAGCAGCAACCAACATAAGCATAAGTGCCAGTAAATAGTGAATATTGAATGTTACTGAGGAGCACTTAAGACCGACAACGCACGACATGTTCAGACTAGGCCATGTTTTTCAAAACTTTAGTAACATTATTTTGTAGATTTTGCTTTCTTCAGTTAGAGGTTTTAATTAAACAGATCTTCATTAAACAACCCTTTGCAGATTCAGCACGTTAAGAACTGATTTTTTGAATTTGATCACTGCGTGATCCCAGGCAGAGCTCCCGAGCGCTCTTTCTCACCTGCTTCCTGCATTTAATTTTCAGGTATGAACAACCGAGAGGTGCTGGAGCAGGTGGAGCGGGGCTACAGGATGCCGTGCCCACAGGACTGCCCCATTTCGCTGCACGAGCTGATGCTACAGTGCTGGAAGAAGGACGCAGAGGAGCGGCCCACCTTTGAGTACTTGCAAGCCTTCTTGGAAGACTACTTCACAGCCACCGAACCTCAGTACCAGCCCGGGGACAACCTCTAACCCACCGCTACCACCCCCCACACCCTGTTCTTGCTTTCTCTCTCTGTCTCTCTCTCTCTCTCGGGGTCAGCTCGAGGCCTGGACACGATTAGCTACAGCAGTGCTATATAAAAAACAAAAACAAAAAAACTATGGATCCTTTTCAGCCTGGCCTTTTTATGTTAGGGATGTGTACAGCTTCCTCAGCTCAACTTGAGTTCCAATACAAACCCCCTGACGACACCGCCCTCAGTCTCCGACACGCCCCCCTAGTGTCTGAACTCTGTAAATGCCATAGTTAACAAGGCTGATGGAACTGGGGTTAACTGGGGGTTGTGCTAATGCAGTTCCTTGTATTCAATGTAAATAAGAAAAGCTTGTTTTAGTTTGTCTGCTTCCGTTTCAGATTTTATTTTCTTCTGCACAAAAGTAATAATAATGATAAAAGGAAGTCAAGTACCTGAGGAGGCACAGTTAATCTGTATGTGTATTATACTGTAGCTTCTCTATTATTTTCTAGAGATTGAATTGGAAGGCTCTATATTTTTTTCTCATTTCCTATAAAAGAGAATTCATCGCTTTATTCTCTACTTTTCAGTTACACGTGTTATTGCATAAAGTTTCTCCTGGTGAGCATGACACAGTCCACTTTTTTTTTCTTTTTTTTTGCCTTCCCGTCACAAAAGCTTCTAGTTAGGCTGCTGCTGCTGCAGGTTCTTTTACAAACGATCTGCCACATTTTTGTAAATCACAGCAACGTACAAGGATTTTGACATATCCCTCATTGCTATTTGGGTGAAAATGTTTCTGTCTTTATACCACTGGTGTGTTATTTTGTAGCTGGGAGACAAGAAAGATTTTCATTTAAGAGTATAAATGTCTTTGATTGAGAATCTTCATTTGGAAACAGATCGTGGGGTTTTTCCTCCTGCACGTCCTCCACCCGAGCCTGCAGGATCAACAGGCTGCACCTGAACCAGGACCATCTTACCTCCTGAGCTGCTTCTTCTTTTATGTTTAAGTGACACGATTATATTGAGTCTTTGATTTTATTTAACCCTTTTAGGTGATCCTTCGAGAGACATTTGGAGTATATGATCAGGGGAGCTCTGGACCAGTTCATGTGACAGGAGTCTGAATGTGAAACGCATTGAAAATAAATGGAAACCAGCTCTGGTCTGGTCTGGTCTTAATGCAGATGGTATCAAAGCCTTTGGTAAATCCTCATTTTTCAGTTGTACAGCTAAATGGGTTTTAAGTGTCGCTAACTTCTCTCCTTTGTATCTTTCATTTCCATTTTTTATTAACATGACTCGTTTTGTTAATTCAGTGATTTGGCATTTGGAACTCAGAAAAGACCAATAAACATTTTACACTCTTTCCAAGACACTTATTATGACCAATGCCAGTGTTTTACATGTGTGTGTGCACCTGCCTGAGAAACCAAGAGAAACTGCATGCTCACAGAGCAAGAGAGCCAGTGGCAGCCAGGCCCTACTTTCCCTGTGCCCTCACACAACTTGAAGTGGTCAAAAGGTGGAGCTGAAAAGAGAGAAAAAGAAACTAAAAATAGATGCAGCAAAATGTGACAAATTAACTGCCATGTTAGTACCAGCACAACTGGTAACAAGCCCTCACAGTCACAGGAGGCTGCTGTTGCTAGCAGCAGAGCAGGAGGAGGAATCTTATTCTGGATCTTGTTGTGACATATACTCTAAAAACTAAAGATTTTACAGTATTCCCTGAAAACCTTCATTTGTCTGATAATTTCTTAAAAACATGGATTACACAGCAGTAGCAAATACATTACATTACTGTAGATGTCTTTCTGAAATTGCTGTAGCTAAGTCAAGGATATAATCCGCCTGCTGTTATCCTCTTGAATGAAATGTGCCAACACCGTGGGAGTTTAGTTTAGGTAGCTGCTCTGCTCTATGCCTGATTATCATGTTAATAGTGTGACATTCTCACTGCGTACGATTCTGCCTGGTATGCAGTGAATAACTTCAGTAATCCAACCAGGCTGTCTGTCAGATTCCATTCCTACAAGACTGCTCAAAGAAGTCCTACCATTAAATAATGTGTCAATCTTAAATATGATAAGTCTGTGGGCTATGTACCATTAATATGTACCCCTACAGGCCTTTAAGCTGGCAGTAATTAAACCATTACTCAAAAAGATTTGATCCAGCTGTCTTAGCCAATTGTAGGCCAGTCTCCAACCTTCCTTTTATCTCAATAGTTCTTTAAAGAATTGTTGTAAAGCAGCAACAGAGGAATGGTTTATTTAAAGAGTTTCAGTCAGGTTTAGGACCTCATCACTCAGAAGGTTAAAAATTATCTTCTTATGACCTGTGACAAATAGACCTATCTCTTTGCTTGTCCTGCTAGACTTCGGTGTAGCGTTCAATACTGTTGACCGTATTTTATTACAGAGATTAGAGCAGGCCGCAGGTATTAAAGGTCCTGTGCCGCACTGATTTGAATCATATCTCTCTCCAATAGACTCCAGTTTGTTCATGTAAATGGGGAGTTTTATTCACACACTAAGGTTAATATTGGAGTTCCACAGGGTTCCATGTAGGACCAGTTCTGTTTGCATTATACATGCTTCCCCTAGGTCACAGGTGTCAAACTCCAGTCGTTGAGGGATGGGGTCCTTAAACTTTTGAATGTGTCCCTGCTGCAACACACCTGAATAAACACCTGAGGTGGTAATTCAGCCATTTAATTGATGTTACAGCAGCTCATGAGTGAATAAACATGGTGCAATAAAAGTACTTTTAGAAGTAGATTTTTTTCAAAAACTTACATATATAAGTAGGATTAAAGCAGGGGTCGGCAACCCTAGGCACGCATGCCCGAAGGGTTAACTGATGGCACGACCATAGTTGGACAGGCCATCGGGCATACCAGGCATTTGCTCGGTGGGCCGATGATTTTTTTTTTTTTTTGGAACGGTATAAACAATGAAAGGTGGTGGATTGGCCAGACGCTGGCCGGTGTGTAAAAATAACTCAGTTGTTTGGTGGTGGCTATGGCGGAGCTTCCACAGATTCAGTAACATTAACAAGTGGTGGAGGCCAGCAGGTGGCTGGGGGAGAGGGGAGGCAGGAGGAGGAGAGACCCAAGGCAGCCGACGGTCCGAGTGTCAGGTGACCTGAACTTCAGGTAAGAAGTTATGACCTGCAGTCTATCTGGGTCAGATATAAACCAAGTGTATATCTGAGTGAATCATAATGCAATCATATGGCACACTTACTTCTGAGGAAATTTTAAATGGCACTCATCATCAGAAAGGTTGCCTACCCCTGGATTAAAGTCACTGAAAGTGCAGGTCTCTGGCTCACCAACTGGTAACACTACCATTAATGGCCATTAATGATTATTGCGCCTATGTTTGACAAATCAATGTCTTCTATGTGAAAGGTATCACTTCTTTTCCATGACAACAAATTTTCCAAACTCAGCTAAAGCATTCTGTTTGTACACTGCTGTTTGATTTATTGATCAGTAGGATTTGAAGGCAGAAAAGAGGACAGCTAGTATGAGTACAGTAAAGAGATTTGCTAACTTTTTGGAAAAAAATCAATAAATAAATCAGCCATACAGCTTGTGAAACATCTGTTTAAATCTTGTTGAATTTAATTGGCTAAATTCACAAAAAAGCAGTTTTAGAGTAGCACCACATCTCACCTGATCACAGCCTTATAAAACAAGTTATGTTACTTATTTCTAATTACTTTAATCACACTGTACAGCTTGTCATGGCTAACAGATGGATTCAAGCACAGACAGCGTTCTGGCAAGCAATAAAGGTGACAAATTATTGACACAAGAGTGAAACCACAGTGATTTATATATACAGTGAGAGGGGCAGGGGTCCAGGGCTCCAGGGGATAGAGGGGAGGAAATCCATGCTCGCTCTTCACTCAGTCCAAACGCCGCCACTCCTTTTCTCACGCACACTCACTTCTCCTCAGCCACTCTCGCTCCAATTTCCACTTATGCCGACACGCTCAGGGATCACAGGTAATGGTGGGTTGAATATATGATTGTTTGTGAGTGGAATTAAAGTTGAGCAGCACCACCATCCAAAATAATTTGCTAATTTTACTTTGGGAGAGTTTAGAGCTTAAAAAGTCAATGCTGCCAGTGAGGAATGGGAGCAGCTTTGATGTTCCATCAATGTGCAACCTACCATTTTAGACGGACACCAGCTGCAGAATCAGTACTACATTCAAAAGGAGGGAGGCACATCTTTTTAAAAAGAAAAATCTGCCTTGAAATTTTGCAATTTAGTTGAGCTCAGCACTGCAATGGTAATATGCAAAGCACACAATAATGTCCTAAAGTGTATTCTCAAGTTTTTCAAAATTAGAGAGACAACATACTCAGAGGAAGTCAAAGGAAAAGTTATGTTCCAAAAAGCAAGGATTAGGACAAAAAAGGAGATGTAAATGTGCCTGTGTCATCCAGGTCATCGTAGTCTAAGGAGCTTGGAAACGTTTCACCTCTCATCTGAGAATCTTCTTCAGTTCTAAGACTATAATGGTGGAGAGTCCCAGATTTAAGATGTAAATGTGTTAGAGGATAAACTTGTAGAGTAATTGTGATGAGCAATTCACTGTAAATTTACAAAATATTATCAGAAATCTCAGAGTTTCATTTCAAATTCATATGACTTTCTATTTCAGTGGAGCTGTCCAATGAAAAGGTTTCACAAACCTGCATAGTGAGGAAGAAATAAATTCTGTCTATTTTTTTTGCTTGAAGTTTTTTCATTCAAAACACACGAGTGGGAGGGGGGTCATTTCAGTAACTTAATTTGGTTTGTAAAGGCGTGTGTTATAAGTGCTGCCAGAAATGAGCTTCCACTGTGTAGGAAAATTCCTTTCAACCGTATGTCAGGTGGTGTGACTCCCCCCTCCCAAAGCCTTATTGGAGCAGCAGGTGGAGCTCCCTCAGCATCTCTCCTTCATATTATCAATACCATTGTCTTTGTGGACTCATAACCAGCTGGGATGCATCTCTGTGGAAAAACTCCCCTTTATGTGGCAACTTTATAGCTAAAAGGAGCACAGCAATCACATCCTGCAGAAACTAGGTAAGTCTAATTTAGTTCACTTTAATAGTAAAGACTGCTATATTCATACAGAGTTTTGAAGCTTCTAAAAGGTAAAAAAGGATGAAAGAATAAAGCTATATGTATGGTTCTGTATGTCATCAAGATTACAGTGGATCCCTAACTTCTCTCAAGTAACACAGGGCCGCAGACAAGCAATTTCCAAGTGACAGAGATTTGAAGAAAACATAACTTTCTTCAGAAACCATTAATGCTTTGTTTTAGTTACACCCAGATGAAACCCACCTAACACAGTAGGCCAGCTTTCATGTAGAGTTATTTTGAGTTTACAACAAAGTAGCCTACAAAATGTAAATCTATTTTTAGCAGCTTAAACTCAACAGTTGTCATCATGTACAATATGTTATCCTAACAGTTACACCTAAAAGTTTCCAAGTAGGTCTTAAAAAGCTGCACAATGTGACGCCCTGAACATTATTTGTCTTACTGTACATCCAGTGGTTTTATTGCAGGTATTAGCATGTGAGCAAACAATGGAGGGAGCCACTTTATCCATCTTTGTTACTATCCAGAAGATCTACTACCCTTTACTTTGTGTCATTGGCATTCCAGGTTTGTATTGCGTTTGGCTTTCCACGATCTATCAAGAATAATGGACATCAAAATATAACAATGCACAAGACAAGTAGAAATAGAAATATGACATTGCGTATTTAGCTGCGGACGAGGATTAGGGCCACTGGAAAAAAGAAAAAGTGGGCACATCTTTTTTTTCTTCTTCTCCAGAATTCTGAGAAAAGTTAGAATTCTGACTTTAATCTCAGAATTCTGAGAAAAAAGTCAGAATTCTGAGAAAAAAGTCATCTGAATTATTTTTCTCAGTCTTCAAGCCTTTGTCGCGTCGTTGTGATGTAATCGGCCTACAAATGCGGCCTCAGGAGGATGTAGCCTCTGAATTTGGACACAGCTACTCTGTAACCAACAACATTAGCTAACTGATGTATGCTAGCTACCAAATCCTTGATGAAATCCATGAGATGAAGTTTCCTAAATAGTTCCTGAATAGTTAAAAATGTGTGAAAACTGGACATCAGATTAATTTTGCTACTTACTGTATCTTGTGGATGTGTACAATATCATATGCATCCTTAGTTTTAGCTTTTATCTTTGACCAAATGATCAATAAACGAGTGTGGGCCTGTGTTCCTACTCTTTGTTCTAGGAAACCTCTTCACATTCTACATGATCTGTTTCCGTAATTGTGGGATGTCCAGCACAGCCATCATCTACCTCAGCTGTCTAGCTATTGCTGACATTTTCTACTTGGTGTGGGTAATTCTTATTGACCTAACTCTCGCCTTCTGGACCCTGCAGCCCTTCTGGCACTCTTACCCCTGGTGTAGCATTCTGGGATTTTTGCAGTATGGGTCACTCTACAGCTCCTCTTGGATTGTGGTGGTGTTCACCATCGAGCGTTACTTGGTCCTCCGCAGCACGGCTGTCAAACAGCATTTGTCACAAACTAGGGTCACTAAGCTTACCTGCATAGCTATTGTGCTGGTATCCCACCTGGTCTCTGTGCCTCTGGCTTGGATCAATATTGTCACACCTGTGAACCTCACAGTGGATGGAGAGAACATCACATTGCCCAGATGTCTATACCGCAATGAGACCTACACTACTGTTATAGTGTGGATAACTACATTCCTCTCAGGAGGAATTCCGATCGTGTTGGTTATCATTTTCAATTACCTCATTGGGTACCATTTGTGCAATGCCAGTAAGCTCTTCACTAAAGAGGAGTATCGTGTCATGCAGGGTAAAAGCACGAGGGGCATGTTGAGGAGGACCATTCTCCTGCTGGGAACCGTCTCTGTGGCTTTTGTTGTGCTTAGCCTTCCTCGTTTTGTCACGTATTGCATCTTGAGGACCAACTACAATAATGAGAATTTTAATAGAAATGACTACAGCATTCCAATCAACGTTGCCGGAGACATTGCCAACATGCTGCAGAACCTGAACTCCACCACAAACTTCCTACTCTACTGTATGGTCAGTCGCCGCTTCCGGCAAGAGCTGGTCCAGGTACTGACTTGTAATGAGAAGGCACTTGAACTGGGCTCTGTCCTCACAAATACTACCATGAAAGTTTTTTCAGTGGTGGATCATAAGGCTTCATATTCCAGCAACCCTGTGTCTGTGGTGCTAACCAGTTTAAAACCTACAGAATAGAACGAACCGTGAATCAAGCCGTGAATCAAGGTACACTTACCTACTTTTATAGGCTGTATCCCCGGAAACTCATCAACTTCGATATTAACCTAAAGCCAGAATGATGTGTTTGGTTGGTTTACACAGGTAGAACAGTATCAGCATATACGCAGATGGTGTATATGAAAAACTTGTTTAACATAATATATTGCAAAAACAGATACTTGGGACGAATTCTGAAAAGGTGTCAAAATGTCAAATGAAGTGAGAGGACTTGAAAGAAAGATTGAAATACCTATGTTGGTGTCATGGCTCTCAATACATACAACAATATTAGATTGCAGCAAAAGCCCAAATTGGACAGATGGATGACCTGCTCTGAAACACCTCAACAATTTCTTGATTGCTATGAAGTTATACATATGTCCCAAAAAGCTGAATCCAACAGATAAACAGATATTTTGTGAATTAATGCCACAGATAAGCCTCTATTTCTTAAAAAAAATTATGACTGAGATTTAAAAATTTATTTTGTATTCAATATGACCCAAAATGAGTGACTGAGCCCATAAACTTAACCTCTCAAAACGTTTTCCTTCTAAGTCAGAAAGCCATTTTTCCATGGACTTCTATGGGACTGGGAGTCCTTTTGCATTCACAGCTATCGTCATCAGGTGGACTTGAGACAGAAGGCAGGTTTAAGGAACTGCATATTGGCTGAATTTTTCCAACCGGGGTCCTACGTCTATGTTTTTACTGTATGTGATGCCAACATATAAAGTACATCTACTGACATCGTCACCAACAGTCACTGGTTACTAAAGTTACATTATTAACCCAGAAGGTTGATTTTGGGCACTCTTGTTGTTTTAAAATCAACCTTCTGTACTACTGAAGGGTGTACTACCAAGGAAATAAGTCAGGCTTTCTTTGTATAAGCTGACTTGACAAAACCTAAAACCCCAGTCAGAGATGAGAGATATCACGCTATAATTTCTGCAACTTTCTCTGTTGAGGCGGCCTTTCTTTGCTGTGTCATATGATCTTTTTCCATACAAAATTATCCCTATGAATTCTGCCTATCATTCACAGTAGAGCTCTGGAACTTTAAAACTGGCCTGTACCTTAATAAAGGCGATGTGGAAATTTAGTTTGTTGGCAGAAGTTAAATCAATTTTATTGATTGACAGGTGCTCTTTGTGTGTGTTCTGCATTCTACTAACTGCGCTGTAAAAGAGCAGCAGATCAGAATCAAGTATATGAACATTTACACATTTTCTGCATCATCAGATGAATATTCCAGCAACATTGTGACGTTTGTACAGCTGCGCTTCATTTGCAATATCAGTGAGGTACAAAAGCCATGATACAGAGATACAATTTAAATTCTAATATGCAAAGAAAAAAAATCATATGCAAGTCCAGCCGTTTGTAAAAAGAAATCCTGAACATAACCCGCTCCTGTTCAGGTTAAATTACCACAATTTTTTAGTCAGGTAGAAAGAAAGCCACTTTCATGACAAACAACTTAAAACAAGACTTTCTTGCTAACCTAGTAATCTAGCTTAATGACACACCCCTCTTGGTTTCTTCTTCCAAGCACAGGAATGACCAGTGTTGAACATCAGAAAGAATGCAAGTTTAAGATATTAAACTAGTTCTCTTTTCAGACCCAGAAGTTACTGCATTTTTTCCCATCCACACAAAAACATGGTATGCATTTTGCTCAAAGAACCATTATATACAACCTTTTGCCCGACTGTGGGCCTTTGTCAATACAGTTTATTTATAAAACAAAAAAGGAAAATCAGACTTGGGTGTGATATGGATCATGTCTAGTTATGAAACAAAAACATGTTCTTGTTTGATGGCCTTGAAAATGGGTCACTGTACCGTTTTATACATGCTGTAGTATATGTTCTTTACCTGTCAAGTCCTGTGTATCCTTTTCCCCCCTGCTGCTTCAATTTCATTGCTTCACAATGTGTGATGAAAACAAAACATGACACCTTTCCAACAAAACAGTTGAATGTGGCTAGCTGCAGCCTGCCTACCTGGTTGAAGAAGCAACCTGATTGGCAGCCCTGGAGTTCACGCTCCACACCTTTTGCATAAATGGGTCACGAGACTTCCAGGATTTGCATAAGACAGGAAGGAACAAGCAGCGGGAATGTTTCCTGTTTGCCACAAAACAGGTTTGTGCTGAGGCTGAGCAGCTTTAAGCGAAGGTAGGTGTGAAAACACATTGGCTTTGTTCTTTAACTTGTAATGTCAAACACCATGTTAACTTTTGACTCTTTTTTTTTTTAGTTATTGTTTAAAAAGAAATACCTGGCATTGCTTTTGATGAATGATTCTGACCTTTGTACTTGTTTGTCACGATCAGGTTACGCTTCAACCCACCTGTAGAGATCCTCCGTTTTCACTTGTTTCAGTGTGAAAAATAAAAGAACACATGAATACTTCTACCGAGAAGCGTTTGCCATATTAAGGGTAATGCTTTTCCCTGTGGTTCTAGTCTTGGTTTGTAACCGCCATGTTGATTTTATGTAGGGCGTTTTGCTGTGTGTGTGTATGTGCGTGCGTGTGTTTTTGTGTGTGTCTGTCTTTAAGGTGCCATGTTGCAACAGATTATTTTAACACTGCTTTCATTTTCACCACAGAGGCCAAAGACACTTTTAATTGGTAAAATAAAATTAAAAAATGGACCCTTATAAAGGTAGGAAGGCACAGACACAGAGCTATCAGCTTGCCAAAAATGCCATTTTAAGTGAAGTGAGTAAAAACCTGTTGATCTTTTCCTTCTTGCTTTCAGGGCCTTGTCCCCATCATAGCATTCCTGTTGAAATGGGTGAGACTCTGGACTTGGAACGGCTCCCCCCATGTGAACAGTGTAACGCACACACAGAGACCGTCAAAAGGCTAGAGGCCCGTGAATTTGAGCCTCCACAGCGGGCAGCACAACAAGTGGGCTTGAGTAAATTCCCTGAGAACCAGTATAAGCACCAGTTTCGCATTAACTCCCCAGCAGCACCACTCTCGGGACACGTGAATGCCCCATTCATGGAAGATTTTTGGCATGTTAGCCTAAGACAGAAAGTGCAGTATAAGCAAGACCCCATAGGCCCTTCAAGCCAGCACCGGAGCCACTCTGTGGACGATGCAGAGTACTTGGAGCCCCCCCAACCGCTCAAATCGGACTTCAACAGCATCAACTATGTTAAAATGCCAATTCCACATATGCCATGTGAGTATGTCAGTGAATTACCACTGGATTGTTTCATTTAAGTAGATCTGAAAAATTATCCAATATTTACACAGAACACCGTAAAAGAGGTCACAAATTAAAGGAAAAATAATCTGTACCTTAATCCCTTACAATGTCTCAGTTTTTGCTGACATGTTTGGAGTCCACAGATTTACGTGGAAAACAAAAAAATACGTAATCCATAGGTTTCTCTACTGTTTACTGAAACCTTTCAGCATAAACAATCACACCCACAACTTTAGGCCTGTGAAGAAAAAAATAATAATCCAACCAGGTGAGCAGGAAAACAAATTCACATAGAAGTCAACGCTGTTGTGCCACATTGTAACAGGCTGTAAAAATGTTAAGCATTTTAAAATGGGATTCTATAGGGACTGACAAGCTGGTGAACTGTAGCTTTTAGCTTCCTTTTTCAGCCCTGTTTGTTGATACTGTGTCATAGGACACTAAAACACCAAACTCATGCCCACTTTAAGACATCTTTACTTTGCGGCTGGCGCTCAATAACATGGAAACATCGAGTGTCCCATAACAAATGATAACTATAATTGGTCATATTGTGACTATGAATTTGACATATGATATTGAATGTCACTGAAAAAAATTGGTTGTAGGCAGCAATCATTTAAAACCATAATTTTAGCACTCAAGAACAAACAGTAAATGTGCTATTGCATTCCAGAAGCAGGACAATCTGCATCTCATTTCTGCTAAACCATCTGAAAGAGGAACTTATGTCTGCTCCTCTGTGTCTGTCTGCAGGCCACATGCCAATGCAGGGAAGCTGTCTGAAACAGCGCGCGTGCTGGCCTCCAGCAAACCTGCGCGGACGCGATAATTATTGTCATCAAGACCCGGGTTACCCAGCAGCCCGACACCAGGAGCCTCAACCTCACCAGAAAATGTTTGTCATTATGATCTACTAATTCCAGCATTGGTTCACTGGTGGAATACTTTCCCCAATACCGTATGTTGTGAGTCACTCTGTGGTCATTTCTCATCATTTCCCTCCACAGGAATCTCTCTCAAAATGGGCAGCAACTTAAAGGTGCTCTTAATGGTCACTGTGGTTCTGCGCCTCCCTATGCAACACCTCCTCTAGACGTGATGCATGAGGTCAGCGTGGGTTGCTCCGACCTTGCAGGCGCAGGATCAGGCACGAAGGAGATCAGGAGGACCATCAGTCTTCCTGAGGAGTGCAGTAAGTCCCACCATGTGCCAAAGCATGCATCATTCCCTTCTGTTTCATGTTTCCCTTCTGTTCAGGATAATGACTGATGGGTTTTTTGTTTTCTGTTTTTCCCCTCCCTCATTGACAGGAAGAGTTTTTATCACATATTCAGTGGACATAGCCAAGGAAATGTTCATGTTTGTTAAATTTCTCGTGGACCAAGGCTTTAGACCCTCAGTAAGTCCATCAGCCTTTGATTTCCCGCAGATGCTCACTCCACTTCAAATATTCTCACTCGCTCTGCCTTTCCTCAGCTCGACATGTTTGACAGTTCAATCCGAAGCATGGGTATCAACCAATGGATGGACCGTTTTCTGAATGATGTAAGTGTGACGGCTGAGTTTGATTAGGCAATTCTTCAACTCTTATCACAGCTGTGCTGAAAAATTGACAGTGAGGATTGTTTTGACAGAAATCAGTGCTGATCATTGTGGCCATCAGCCCCAAGTACAAAGCGGATGTGGAAGGAGATGGAGTCGATGAGCATGGCCTGCACACAAAGTACATCCACAACCAGGTAAA